TACACCTCTCCACCTACATACAGCTACACCTCTCCACCTCCATACAGCTACACCTCCACCTACATACAGCTACACCTCCACCTACATACAGCTACACCTCTCCACCTACATACAGCTACACCTCTCCACCTACATACAGCTACACCTCCACCTACATACAGCTACACCTCCACCTACATACAGCTACACCTCTCCACCTACATACAGCTCCACCTCCACCTCTCCACCTCCACTTCAACTTCCACCCCGCACACTACCTCCATCATCATCAGTTAACAAATATTCTGTGACTTACACCAGCGTCTCATTTCAAAACAACAGAACTGGCAACGTAAGGGAAACATGATTAAACATAAACAAAATGAAGAATATTTTACACCTCCCCGTCGTCAGCTACAAACACGGCTGAAAAATCACCTGCCAACTTACTAAACTTTTCTAGTCGTCTCCTGGAACAACTGTGGAGCTTAGGGATCATGAAGATAAACAGAAAGAAGGTTTTTAGTTGACACACGACTCATTTAACAATCAGCTGAATGAGAAGGTCAAATAACTGTTCGTCAATGCACACAGCTCATTTTAGTATTTATAATTACAGGTAAACTCAAAGAGCTTTACAGTGAGGCTAAAAACAGCTGACAGCAACAAAATGTTTCCACCGACATGAATCAGACGGAGAAATCAAAATCAATGAAGTCAAACGCACCACAAAGCAAACATCACTGACCACGCAGGTGATCAGACACACAGAGGAGCTGCCTGTCAATACTACTGCTTGGGGCAGCAGGGGCTCAAAAATGTGCAAATTTTGCAATGACAGTAGGAAACCTCCCTAAGGAGGCCCCATCTGACAGCATTTCCTCTCCTTGCCATACCAAGCGTTCCATGCATTGTTTGCTGTGAAAACTAAAGTTGGCAAAGAGGAATTACCTGAGAGAGGAAACAAGAGGAAGAGGAGTAAGCGTCAGGACCGCAAATTAATTTTTGCTTCGGGCCCCAACAGACTCTAGGATCGCCACTGCATACACACACACACACACACACACACACACACACTATAAGTATTCATATGCTTGGGAGAATATAGAGGTTTTGAGCTTTGCTTTAAAATTAGAGACAGTGGACCTGAGGTTAGTGTGTAAAAATCAACACAGAGAATAAAGTTGTTTGTAACATAAACATTCAGTCAGCTTCTCATAAACAGAAAACTGAGTTCAGAAATAAATTATTCAAAGTATAAAAGAAGGTTTACTTTGGTATGCTCACACACACACACATTACACACAAAATCAGCAAACACTAAAATGCACAAGACATTTACGAGAACTTTTAAGACCAGTCTAGTTCCAGGTACAATTCACAATTTTTTGCAGTTTCAATCTTGAGCCAGGATGTAAAAAAAAAAAAATCAGACACAAGCTGTATATTCACTCTTCTTTGTGTCTGTTTTTGGTCTCCACCAACTCACTAGAATGACGTTCTATTTCTAACATGAGAAAAGTCTGATGTTTAGCTGATAACTTTCCTAATACCATCCGCTCTTCTCAAACCGTCTGATGGCTGATTCTGAGCAGGTGGTGAGTTTGTAGAGGTTTTACTTTGACCTGCTGCAGCCGGAAACATCACAAGAAGATCAGAGACAGGAGGAACCTAAACGATGTTTCTGAGGCAAAACAATAAACTGACAAATTTGTGTGTGTGTTATTTTACACACGCACAGAAAAACACCACCTCGAATGCCTCTTCACAAACTCTATCTCTCTGCAGCTGCAGCTGAATTCCTCCGTCTATCTCCGGAGAGTATTTATAGACGCTGACCAACACAACATGCGTGTGTGTGTGTGTGTGTGTGTGTGTGTGTGTGTGTGTGCGTACTTTGTGTGTGTTTTACAGCTAAGGACTGGAAAGAGAAGGACTGACACCCCCTGCGGTGTTGTGATATCCACATTGGCAACTGCTTCACATTGTTTCCACTCAGCAGTTTGAACATAAATATTATCATACAGTACCCCTTGTACAAAGAAGCAAAAGCAAAATGTACTTTAAATATCTACAGTTAAAAAACTTGTTGGACATTTTGGTCTCATTAAGCGTTAAATAACATTTAATATTCACACACATCATTAGATCATCATGACTGTAGAGTCCACACAAACACCGGTGGAGTTGAAGCATATCGAACTATTTTAGATTTCTTCTCTACACACCTGTCAGAGCAAATGTTTTGAGAGACTTCCTATCAGAACATAAAGTCGGTAAATCAACAAAATTGACGTGCACAAGTTGTATCACCATTATTGTAAAACGAGCCATTTATTGTTGTTAGTACTTTGGGGGTACAGACTTTTAAATTCTGACACTTTGAACTCTAGTTTCAGTGCAGGGCGTCTTCCTTTAAGAGAGTATTACTGTGGTATTGTTACTTTTATTTAATAAAATATTTGAGCACTTCTCCCACTACTGTGTGTAATTACATTAAAACATACTGTTGTGTGCTTTTGTTCGTATTTCCTACTTTTGTTTTTTTATGTCACCGGTTGCATCCAATCATCAGGCTGCAATATTTTATGTTTTCAGTCCATTTTCTTAAATGTTAGTCTGAATAAAAGTACAAGTGGAGATCCTAAGATGTAGTGTTTTTTTTAAAGGTTCAAATGATTAAATGTACCTGGTTCTCCCTCCTGGTTCCTGCTCTTCTTCTCTTCTTTGTCCTTTCTTTGGCTCTCTCGTTAGGCTTTCTCTTATTACCGTTCTTTACTCTTTATTGTTGTTCCTCTCTGCTGCGTCCCTCTGTCCTCTGTCAGTCTGCCAGAGTGCTGTGTGTGTGTGTGTGTGTGTGTGTCAGAGGGGAATCAGGGTCCCTTACCACGCCTCCCTGACCCTCTTCGTTACCACCTCAAACATCCACCTCCATCTCCAAATACAGGCACCCCTCGTCGCCCTCCCCTCCCAAAATATCCCAAAAGAAGAGCGCCTGAACATCCCCCCCTCCAACATCCTCCCACCCTCCTCCTCCCTCTAATGGCCTTTGGGTTTCAGGTTTTAGATTGGGTTTCAGCCAAATGTGTCTGCTAGTTTTTGTCTGAATATGAATCTCAAAACTCAGAACAGTTCTGAAATATCTGTCAGATGTTAGCTTAATATTACCACTGTAAAAACATGCATTCAAAACCCTTTTCCAGTACAAGTACACATGTATTTAAAGCGCCTAAAGGACAGGGAACGTAGTCATTGTGATGGGACAAAGCAAGGAACGATGTACATTAGAAATACAAGAAATTCATAAAGGACATCAAGACCTGTGCGTAGAAGACGTTGAATAAATAGGAGCATCATAGAACACGACAAATACAGCACAACACACACATATTGGCAAAATGTAAACGTTGACAACATATCTGTGTAATTTTAAAAGTGTGCAGGAATTTTTTGATGGAAATGATGACATTTTTTAATTCTATCAATCTTGAAAACAACAGAGATTGTAACGTTTTAAGACTTGGGGTATTGAAAAAGTTTCAATAAATTTGACAACCTCAAGAGTAAGTAGTTAAATATCTTATTCCAAGACGTTTACGATTACAGGTATAAAGTTGCATTTACTGCAAAGAGTCAAGTTAGGAACGTTTATTTGGAATGATAGTTTGTTCACCAAGCGAAAATAGCAAGAATTTGTGTGAGAAATTAACACTCGTAAATTTGATATTATTCAATTTGCATGTGATGAGGATGTCACACATTTAATTTATGTATGACATGCACAAATACACAATCTGATATTGATTCTGAGGGATTATTTCTGATTAATAAATAGGAAAAGAAACCCTTAGATACAGTGGTTAGGGGTGGCAGTAGCTTAGTCTGTAGGGTTGGTAAACAGAGGGGTCACCAGTTCAAGTCCTGGTGTGGACCAAAGTATTGAAGTTGGTCTGGTTGCTGGAGAAGTACCAGGTCACTTCCCCAGTACTACCAATGTGCCTTTGAGCAAGGCATCGAACCCCTAACAGCTCCAGCGTAGCAGTGAGTGTGTGGCAGCCCCACTCTGACATCTCTCCTCTAATGAATGTCCACAGCTCCTGTTTGTGTATGTGTGTATTTTGAGCGTGTGTGAGAAGCATGTCTCGCAATAAGAGCGTAAAGAAGAAAATGTAATTTTTAGCATCAGTTTGGACGGACAACTTTAAAACAGAAGTGTATTTCTGTCGTTGGAATTAAATTGTGGAATTCTTTAAATAATGACTTGAAGGGCTGTGTTCAGATATTTCAGTTTAAGAAAATGTACAAGAACAAAGTTATCAGACGGTATGAAAGTGGCAGTTAGTGTGTTTTCCTTCTACTTTCTGAGGAAGTGAAGGCTGAATTGTCAGATTTGTTTTATGTTGGCATGATATTCATTCATTCACTGTAATTGGGCAGACCATCCAGATATTTATTGTTTGCTTTTTGAGTAAAGGGGGGGCAGCTAAAACAAGAATTAGTGTAAATTGTTTTTCTTTTTTCTTTTTCCTTTTCTGTTGCGTGTTTTGACATGTACGGAACAAATAAATAAAAATAATGAAATGAAATGAAATAACAGAGTGTAAACCAGAATTTTCCTCAGGGATTAATAAAGTTTGTAAATCAAATTATATTTTTTAAAAAGCCTACTAATCCACAATGTACTTTAGTTTATAATAATATCTTACGAATACTTCTTGAATACTAGCAGTTGGCCAAACGGTAAATCATCCTGAAAGCTAATTCAGCGTTTTTTTCACTGACGTCATCCTGACAGGTGCTCCCTGCGTGCGCCGTCAGCTGTGCAGTGACGTGATTCCGTATTTCACGACCTTTCTAAAAAAAAAAACCAATTTAATTGGTTTTAAACCCATTGCTTGTTTTTTTATACCATTATGTTGTATCTGTATTAATAATTAATTATTATTAATTAATAATTATTGTTACCATCCCTAAACTAGCGGAACCTCTCCGGCTCCCCCTCCTTTCTGTGTGCGCTCAGGATGAAGTAGCTTCCGGGCGACAGGGTACCAGCAGTAAACATGGCGGAGGAACTGCTGGAAACAGTGGACAGACTTCAGTCCCGGCTCCTGGAGAATCCGGAGCCGCGAAAAGGTAACGACTAAACCGGCGAAACGGACAGATAAGGTTGTCAGCATCGGCATCTCCCCAAAATGAGACGGTTTGTCGCCGCTGGTCAAGCGAAGCGGCGGCCGCGGCAGGTCTCCGCAAGTCGCAACCGTTTTTTAAATGCTGCGTTGACGGTCGATCCGGACTTCTGTAAATCGTACACGTTGAAGATCTTTCATTCGCTGTTTTTACTTAAACAGAATAGTGTAAAGTTGTGAATTAAAAATCCGTACGAGTATTAATTTGGGATTTTGTTTTGATCCACGAGTGAAGCGGCTTCAGGAGAAAATGACCATGTCACAACCATAATGTAAACAACCAACAGAGGATTGAAAGTTATGATCAGGCCTGCTGCTCATTAAAAATTAAAGAGTCTTTGATGTTTTTGTACAGTAAAAATGTCTGCACAAGTTACAAGAAGGATATTATAGGCTTATATTCGTTTTCTGTCTGTAATATAACACTGAATAGTAACAGTCCTAAGTTATTATACAAAATTGCAAAAAGAAGAAATCAATTCAATTCAATTCAATTCTAAAAAACTTTATTTGTCCCCGGGGGGCAATTCAAAGTCACACAGAGCAGTAAATTAACAACAGTGCAGGTAAACAAAACATTTTAACCTAAATATAAAGTGTCAATTAAAATACAACTTAAAGCTTAAACTTAACTTAAAAATACAAAATATAAAAGAGTAGATTTAAGTGGACAGCGATCAGACTAACAGATGTAAACAGAACTATGTGCAGTAAACGAGAAATAAATATATATACAGAACTATGTGCAGTAAACGAGAAATATATATATATATATATATACACAGAGCTATGTGCAGGTAGGCTAAATACTAAATGATAAGTTATAAGGTGCATGGTGAATAATGGAACAACAGAACTAATATATACAATATAACTGTAAAGGTAAAAATTAGATAATAAATGATTATATAAAATTGCAAAAAGAAGAAGTTAAGGGACATTCAAAAATACTATGATGAGCAGAAACGTTGTATTTCAATGACAAAGGGACATGACAGCCTTTTCGCCCAATAGCCAATCATGATAATTCACATTTATTGGTTTGTAAGGTAATTAACGTCTTTTTTTTCTTTTCTTTTTTTTTTTTACTGTGCTTACCAATCACTTGGTTTGAAAACATTTAGAATAGAATTACTTTATTGATCCCAAACTGGGAAATTGTGGCGTTCAAGCAGCAGGTTATTCAAACACACAATATGAGTAAAAAACACAATATTAGCTAATCTAAACATAATATAATATTAAATACAAAGTAAATAAGCGCTAAAAATATCAAAACTAAGAATGTGAATTTATACAACCAGGATTTAACTAAACATTACTAGTTTTAAATAGGAACGATTAAATATGTAAGATTAAATGTAAATGTGCAAAAACAGAGTCGTAAATGGACAGTATTGACATAAGTTAAAGTGCATGAGGGTAAACATGTTATAAGCAGAAACTATACAATATGACGGCGAGTAGACAGACAAATGAAGTGAACATGAGTGCAGGGATAATTTGTAAATGTAACATGTGCAGAACAGATGACAGTAAAGGAGAGACAGATATTATCATGATGACAGTTCTCTGCTCGCATGAGGTGAGCTGTTGTACAAAGACTATACAATATGACGGCGAGTAGACAGACAAATGAAGTGAACATGAGTGCAGGGATAATTTGTAAATTTAACATGTGCAGAACAGATGACAGTAAAGGAGAGACAGATATTATCATGATGACAGTTCTCTGCTCGCATGAGGTGAGCTGTTGTACAAAGACGAGCACACATGAAATGCTTTGGATACTTCTGAGTAGAAAATTGCACACGACACAAACAATGAAGTACTTACGACAATAATTTCAAATCAAGTTGTGTAAGAGTTTTTTATTGTTTGTTTTAAATTTAACATTTTAAAATAGTATTTCGTTATGAAACACTAGACCTCATTTACAATTGCGGCGTTTCCGACAGTTTGTGAAGGCATCACGTGAGACGTCACGATAATTAAGGGCTTTTAACTTCTTTCAACGTACCGCTTCAGCCCTTTTATATGTTATAAAAGATGACGTGAACACCTGCCCGCTTGGTTGAATACCTGTCGGCGTTTCCTTCTGTCTGTCATGGAAATATTAAAATAAACAAACCATCATTCATCTTCTTGCGAATCTCGGGGCCAGAGTAGCCATTAGCCTTGTTAGCTTTCCAACGTTAGTGCGAGAGTCATGACAGAAACAGCGGCTGCAGGCCTCTTATGTTCACCTGGTGTTGATTATTCACCTTTTATAAATCACTATAAGTCACTGCGCAGACATCCTCTCTTAAAGCAGAGCAAAATGCAGGACGGATAAAGAATTGTTCACAATGTCCGACCTCTCCTTTGTTTACTTTCACTGCTGAATTGGGGACACTTGTCTCAAACACGAAGCCTCCTCCTCTTTGGGAGATGTTTGATTTACAGATGATGTCGGCTCTGCAGGGGGTCTTTATTTATCCACAGATGTAGAAATCACAGTTCAGTGATTGTTCAGTGATTTGACTGCAGCCCGGCCCCGTTGCAGGCCATGATCAGTCTCCATGACGCAGGGCTGCTTAATCTCTCTGTTTTGGGTCAGTTAAAGGGTCACAAAAGGTCATTAAGAACACTTTGACAACCAGGTGGAACACAGGTGAATATTCTTCATGCCAGACACTTTAATGATGACATAATGTAAACCAAATGGTGTCAACTTCTGAGACTGTTATCGTGTTTATAATGCTGAATGGCGGTCACAACAAGGTCAGCAGTGACAATTTAAAGCAACAATATGAAACTTTTCCATCGTTAAACAGTCATTTCAAAGCAAATCTTACCGCGCAACGACTTTCGACAGGCAGAACGGCGTCTCTTCCATGTCCACAGAGCGCGCCGGTCGCCTGTTTATAGCAGTATGTAACTTTGGCAGCTTGCGCTTGTTCTCCCATGAGATATGCGTGTGTCTTTACAGCGCTACAGGCATTAAGCCCGTCTCACTACTGTTCGAATGAATGACTAAGACGCAGAAGAGGACGATGAGGCCATCAACAGAGAGTGACCAAGCAGAGCGTACATCCCTGCAGCTGTTATTCATAACGGATTGTAACGTTAGTCTGTGTAGTTATCGGTGTCATCATTGTCTCATGTTGAGCAGCTTTACCGGGTGCAGAAAGCCGTCTAACTCAAGTGATGTCTCAGGTTTTGCATACAAACAAATATATGAATCTATCTTCTGTCAAAACAAAAGTTGTCTCGACGACGGGCTGTAGACGCTAGCAGAGTCATATTGCACAATAAACGTACCTGTACCTCGTCAGTCGACGTTTGTGTTTGGCTTCTCTCAACTCAACCCCCTCTGAATGTCAACAAACGCGCGATGTCTTACGACAGTGCAGTTGCACTCAGAGACCTTGGGTCGGCGCCAAAGCCCACCTTACCTAATTCCTGCATAGGGTTGCGTTAAGTAGTGACTGAACAGGCAAAGGTAGATGCAAACTGCTCATAAGAAACTGCTTATACTGCTTGTAAGAATAACTACTGACTTAATGATGATGGTCTCCATATTATTGATGATGATGATGGTTGTGACGATGGTTTTTCTTTGATAACGATGACTTATAAGATGGTTTCTATACTGATTAGAGCTCTCAAGAGCTGCCCTCAATGTTGTGCTTTGCCTCTGGTCACTTCCTGTCAGCACATGTGTGTCCAATCGGACTCAAAGCTGATCGTTTGCTCTTACTGACATTGTTCCCTTTTTTCTAGATCCTCGCTTGTGTTGTTCTTACTCTCTGATGTACGTCGCTTTGGATAAAAGCGTCTGCTAAGTGAATTGTAGAAAACCTATCCTACATTCTGTCTTTATAATTTGGGGACACAGCAGCTCAGTCTGTAGCTTGGGTTGGGAGCTGTTACCTCCCGAGTACTGCCGAGCAAGGCACCAAACCCCCAACAGCCTCTCTGTGTGGCTGCCCCACTCTGACATCTCTCAATGCATGGCCACAGGTCCTGTTTGTACATGTGGGGGAACTTAGAAAGCTACAGAAAATAAAATTGACTTCATTCATATATTTTGTTTTGTTTGATTTTTAAATCAAAATACTGATTTTTAAAGTATAAGTTCTGTTGCTGACTTATTTATCGCTGTACAAACAATCTCTAGGTCATGGTAATGTTTCATATCAACATATTCTGTCAACAACACAGGTTTCAGATTTCATTTAGAGTTTATACTCAGAAATATTGACAAAATATTCTTTACTCAAGGTTAGCTTGCTCGCTTTAAAAAAAAAAAAAAATCCTTTCAACCTTATCTCCTGGTCTCGTTTAGCAAGGGAGTCTGCTCATGTTTTAGTGTTTTCATTGAGATAATTCGATTGAACGTCAGTCATGTGATGACGTGTGAACCTCTATGAAAGTTAAACACTAGAATCTTCTCATTAATCGTGTTTTTCTTGTTTATTTTTCAGGTTTTAAAAACTTTCAAAAGACTGGGGGAGCTTCCGATGACCGTGGACATACTGGTGGTAAGATTTCAATTTCTTGTTTATACTGGAGCCCAACCGATAATATCTCAAGTGACTGTCGCTATCGGCTAATTTTATCTTCAACAAGCGCCGATATTCCAAGATGTATTCACCTGTCAAATAGCATTTCATTTGAGTATCGTGTATTACACTAGCAGCTCTCTGTCACCAGCAGAGTGTGCTGTATGGATTACAACGAGCATCATCACTCTCCAGAGTGTCAGGCGGTGATGCATGTACATGCTCAGTTACTTTCCAGTTGAGTGACCATCTTGTCTTCATTATAAATCTTTTCCACGAGTGTTTGATAACTGCATTTGAGGGATCAATGCAATAAATGTGTATTTATCCCTACAGATCAAACATAGATCTTAGGCGCATTCACACTAGCAAAGTTGTCCCGAACCGTACATAAGCACGATTGCACACTGCTCCAGGACTAACCGGGCCTGAGCACGGTTACCTCTTGTACACAATGTTGTTATACAACACATGCATGTCTTTATGTAATTATGAAGCTTCCTTAGTTTACAAGACAGACGGACTTGAGGAGAAAAAAAAAAAGACGCGCTGTCGAGTCCGTGTTCGTACATCGGAGAACAACACAAAGAACATGACAGCTACATTACTGACTTTGTGGTTTATTTTGAGTCACTTTAGTCAGATACAGCCAGAACACTTCTTTCTCGATTAATGAAGACTGTCCACGTTGTGTACCCGCGTGCTTGTGCTCGGGCATTAACTGTACCAGGCTGAAGCGCACCTCTCCAAAGCCTGCCAGGGCCAAGGAAGTGTACCGAGCTTGAGCGCGGTACGGAGCACTCACACTAGTCAAACAAACTGGACTTTAGGGTTGATGCGTCCTTGGGATTGCCTAGTGTGAGTGGGTCCTAGGAAAGATATCTACAAATGTATTGGTATCACACTTTTTTTCTCTCCAATATCTATATCTGCCCCAACAATTCCAGTTTCGGTCGGTATGTTTATACCCTGTAGATTTCTGTAGAAAAAGTTGAAAAAAAGAAGGGAGTTAATGCCACAGTAGTGAGAGAAATAGTTTGAACTCCTTCTGCAGCTCACAGTCTGACAGACAAGCTCAGTGAATAACCAGTTTAGGATGTTTCCTTTGAAGCATTAACTCCTGACTACTGCAGTGAAATGACATTATAAGACAGTGCTTGGCTGTGCAGTGAATGTGATCTTTCTGAGAACAAACATGCCTCGCACTGTCAGCTTTTTCTTTCCTGTCAGATGTGATTTATGGCATTTATCAGCACAGCCTCAACATGTTTCTAACCAATCAGATATCTCACCTGCAGCCTGCTTAGATATGATAACAAGTGTGAAAGTCAAATCCACACTTGAGCTCAACGATGAACACATGCACGCACTAAATGTACCTGGAAGTCAAGATATGTCTCATGTGATATCAAAAGCTTGAGGTCCAGATTCTAAGGCTTTAACCGTGTAGTTGCAAACAGTATATAAGCTTCAGCTTGTGTTGTGGGACTTATTGTGTAAATCTTTGAATGGTCAGTGTCAACATTTTCACTCTGTCTCGTTCCCTCGTAGGAAACTGGAGTGGGGAAGACTGTGAATTCTTTCAGGAAACATGAACTCGTTGGAGAGCTGGCGAAAAACCTCGTAGCCAAATGGAAGAAACTGGTTCCTCAGTCTGCAGACAGGTACGTTCTGCATACATGTGCCCCAACATGCAAAAGAGCAGGGACTAGTGGAGCAGTCGGTTCTTTCACTCTCATGTGTCTTTGCTCAAATCCAGAGTACTGAAGCAAACTTTAAATGAACCTCTTAAATGAATGCATAGTGCAGTAGACACACAGCCCTGTTCAGGAAGTTAATAAATCATTGTTGAGTTTCCTTCTAAGGCTGGCTACACACTTGAAGATTTTCATATCTTAATGATTTTAAAAACGTAGGAGACCACAGACTGAAGGGTTAAAGATTTTTTATTTTTGGGCAGTTTTTTGTGCCTTTTATTAGAACGATAAGACAATGGATAGAATCGGAAATCAGGGAGAGAGAGAGAGAGTGGGGAATGACATGCGGGAAAGGAGCCACAGGTGGGATTCGAACCTGGGCCGCCCGCTTGGAGGTTTCACAGTGGGCATCGACAGACACGAGATCTCACAGAAACTCGCTTGATTAAACGTGACTTCAGAAGAAAAAGTAATATGGAGGGCGAACGACGGACGAACAACGTCATATTTTACAGATTAAACTTTTTAAAGACAATTCTTTTCATGAACCACTTCGTTTTCGTTCATTTTCTTTAACCTGATAATAACTGGTGTGTTTGTGACTCACAATCAGTTTTGATTTTTCTACTCCAGACCCGCCAACAGTCACGCTAAAGAGGCACCGCGGTCACATGGACACTCTCGAGAACCAGAGGCAGCTGAAGAAGGAGGCCACAGACGAACCAGGGAGCCGTCCCCTGACGAGGAGCCCTCCTACATGGAAGAGGAGGAGGAGGAGGAGGAGGAGGAGAGAGGTTATCACACGAACTACTCGCCCTCGCCTCCTCATCACGAGCAGTACAGCCCTCCGCAGAGAGGAGGATACCACTCAGACGAGTATGAGAGCCCCGAGCCCGAGCCCGAGCTTGAACCTGAGCCTGAGCCTGAGCCCAGTCCCCCCCCTCCTCCTTCTCGTAAGGACATCCGCTACACCAAACCAAGCAAAGAACCCAGCAAAAACCACAATCACAGCGACAAAAACAGGGACAGAGACGAGGAAAGACGGCAACGCCACGCACAGATGAGTGGTGATCGAGGAGGAGGAGGAGGAGGAGGAGGAGGGGGTGGGGGAGGTGACGGAAAGAAACGCAGCGCAGACCGAGACAGACAACAGAGTCCAGTACAAAAGTCCTCAAAACATAACAAGAAGTCCAGCACGCATGAGAGTAAGAGGGAGGAGAAGAAGAAAGCAGGAGATGAGGGTGAGTGTGTTTCTGATGGATGAGCGAGAGAAACAAACAAAAGTCGTGCATCTCTTTGTCCTCTGCACGGACGGATTATAAGTAACTTTTATAAAGGTGATAATGGAATTAAAGCAGGTATCTAATATCAAAGGAGAGCAGCTCTATACATTCAGCAGTGTCTTATAATGACTGTGTTTGATCCATGATGGAAAGTTGGCAACTCAACCCACACATATTAAAACCAAACCAACTTTCAGATGCATATTGTTACTTTAAATTGAACGCAGAATCTTGTTTTCAGATGTTTATTAGTTCGTCTCTGTCTCACAGAACCTTGCTAGTGAAACACGACAGTAGAGGCGGGGGGATTGTGGAGTCAGGAGGGGAGGGAGGAGCTGAGGGATGAAGGAGATGAGTTTGTGTCGATCTGGAAATCACATATTCAGCCTTTAAAGTGAAGCTTGTCTGCAGAGAAGCCTTTAACTGTAAAACCTTGTTTTGATTCTCCAGAGCAGCAAATGTAAAGGCATAGACATTTGACTTTAAAAGTGCATTTCATGATATTTAATCTTTGTAGAAGCCGAAGACGTTACTTTTTTAAATGTTGTTTCAGCTTCATCACCCCACGATAAATGTGTCCACAACAGGGAGCTACATCCTGTTCTGACTGAAACTGAGATACTGAAGATAAAGCCTGTTTGTTGAATGAATCGACAGGAAATGACAAGTTATTCTTTATTAGCAAAAAGGGAAACCAGTTCACAAACATCAGCCGGTGATCTGCCCTTAGACAGCTGGACACATGGACATCAGATTTTAATATATCTCCTACTTTGTAGGTATCCACACAAAGCATCACAGTCAGTCTTTAACATATTTTATTATTTTAAGCCGCTACAAACCGCCTATGAAAAGTTCCCCCAGGTAATGAAAATATGAAGAATTGAATTCATTCAGTCGGTTACACACTTTATTCATTAAATTCAACACTCCAGATTTCCCATGATTCACTTTGTCCTCATCGGTTCTTTCTGCCTCTATGTTTCCAGGGCGACCACGGGTGCCGAAGGACTCTCCACCCAAAGAGGAGGAAGAAGACGACTTTGAGACCCCCACCATGTCCTTTGAGTCTTTTCTCACGTATGACGCCCCGATACCTGTAAAGAAGAAGAAGAAGCCGTCGTCGTTGTCATCCTCGTCGCACGGCCGGCCGTCTCACTCTGCATCCTCCACGTCATCATCCCATCGCACACACGACCCTGCGCCCGCACCATCCTCCTCCTCCTCCTCCTCATCCTCCAAAGTGAGCAAAGCTAACGGTACTCAGAGCAGCAAGAGGACGCATTCAGGATCCAGTTCCGCTGCAGCAACACCTGAGAAACGAAAAAGGGTAAGAAGACCCCTCCGGTGTCACGTCCAGTTTATGCGTCTCTGTGTGAAATTCAAATTTTTGCAGGAGCCTAAGTCCCAAACCTGGAGTTCCTCAGGGCTCACTGTTAGGGCCACAGCAGATCCCACAGAAATACAGAGCTTCTTTTTAAAAAATGACATGAGAGCTATCCATGGTGAATTTCCAGCCTGCCCATCTGTCCTTAGTCCTCAAGGCTCAAGAAAAGGAGGAAAATATCAAATCTAAAACTGTCTAAAAAGAAAATTACCAAACTCACTGAAGAACCCTCAAATAATGCTAGCAACAATTCCATTGGTTGAATGATTATTTTAAAATTCCAGCTTGTTTCAAGTGTGAGAGTCTGATTTCCTCTCGGAGCTGTGAGCCCATCAAAACTTTTCTCCATGAACCAAGGCCTTGCATCATTTCTTTTTTTTTTTGGCAAGCTGCATTTCCTAGCAACATCTACTTTATTCCCCATCAAGGTTTTTACAGAGTAGAGAGTAGCTTTAGCCTTGCAAACTTCAAAGTCTACTACAACAACAACAAACATTCTTTTATGAGTTCTCTCCATCACTTAGAGCAGACAAATCAAATAAGTTGTTCAAACAAACCACCACTCTGATATTTACGAAAGGCTCGCTTCCTCTCTGTATGTTATGCTAAGCTAACTGTCTCTTGGCTGTACCTTTTATGTTGAAACAAAAGCTGTAGAAGCGACATCTTTCAGTCTGGTTATAAGGGGGGACAAAGCTTTAAGCAAAATGTCAAATTATTCACCTTAGGGTTAGGGTTGCCCACTTTCTACTCCTGCAAAGAGGAGTTTGAATCTGGCTATAAAATCGATATCTAAAGTCTCCATATTACCTATAAAAGCAGTAAAGACCATTGGGAATAAGTTGGAGACTTTCTATCAATGGGTCAGCGGGTCATCTCATGTCATATGAGGCGATTTAAAAACTCAGAGATCTGGGGCGCCGGATAGCCTAGAAGATATGAAGCACGCCCCAGGTACAGAGGCTACAGTCCTCGCCTCAGCTGCCGTGGGTTTGAACACGGCATCAGACCTTTGCTGCATGTCATCCCCTGACTCTCTCCTCCCAACGTTTCCTGTCTCTCTTCAACTGTCCTATCCATTAAAGGCAGAAATCACCAAAGTAGTATAACTTTAAAAAAACATTGAGATCTGAAACTTTGTTCACATTTTCCACTGAAAAATGGATTCACAGTGAGTGAAACATTTGATTGTTAATCAGAACACTCCTCTTACACATGCACAGACCAGGGTCAGCATGAGAGATGAAGTACTGCTTTTTCCACAAGGGGGCGTCAAAATCAACCAAGGCAAATGTTTCTCACAGGAGCTTAAATGTATGATCCTTATCGTATAAAACGCTGAGTTTGAAAAGTTGTTTGCAGATCGTCCTCGTTCATTTTACGTTTTGTTGTTTTCAGGTTGTTGAGGTTGTTGCCACTCTTCCTGACATCCCTCTGCCGGCGATTCAACCCAACTACAGACCTCTGCCCTCCATCGACGTCACACCGCTGTCCCCTCAGAGACGGAAAGGTAGCAAAGCCCTCACCTTTGAATCACTGCTAACTGGGGGTGCCAGTGGCCTAGTGGTTAGTGTGTACAGAGGCTGAAGTCCTCCAAGCGGGCGGCCCGAGTTCATATCCAACATGTGGCTCCTTCACCACATCATAGTTTTATCTCGAAACACCTGATGTCCTTAATGTCACAGTTAAAGAATCTTTCTTTCCTTTTTCTTGTGGATTTATTGGCCATTTATACAGCCGACCGAGTTCCTAATTTAATCTTTTATAGAGGATGCTCGTGCTTCAAAAAGACCTCAGACATAGAACGTAATGAAAACGTCTTCATTAAGATTCAGGCCGTAACTTACACTAGCAAAGGAGCCTCTTAAAGTTTACATTTGTCTCATTTCTGTAGACTGATTTGACAAATATTCTTCGCTGTGTCGTCAGCAGAAAGGTCTTATCACACTCCTCTGGAGAATCCTTTTAAGTACACCTCAAACAGGAAGCCACGCCTCTTAAAGATGGCCAGGTGTAGAGGAGAAACCTGATAACCTCCTCTGTGTATGAGCAGGTCTGTCTGTCCTGGTTTCTCATGACTTCCTCTGATTCAGGTGAACGTGATCTTGGCATCGAACACAAAGCTGAAGGAGGAAGTGGAAACTTGAATCAATGCGAATTGTGATCTAGTTCTCTTTGAGGATCCAGCGGTTCATCCCGACCTGCTCTCTGGGTCACACTGCCGTCTGACTCCCACTCCTTTCTTCACTTTCTTCACTTTCAGTTCCTGTGTGCAACGACGAGGAGGACGCCGGCTTCACGGGGAAGCGGTTCAACTCTAAGATGGTCGTCTACTCTGGATCAAAGTCCGCGTACTTGCCCAAGATGATGACTCTGTACGAGCAGTGCATCCGCGTGCTGCAGAACAACATTGACTGTGAGTTAAGCTGCTGAATGTTCAGATCATGAGCAACAAACCCTCAGAACACTTTGAGGCTCACACAGATGCCTGCAGTGCTGTAAATGTTTGTAAAATGTGTTTGTTGTGTGTAAAATATAAACAGAAAGCTGAGACTATCACCCATCTGTCATCTCAAGGTGTTTAAAACACAAAATGAACACAGGTGTGACTTCTGATTCCTCTCTGCTCTTTCAGCGATCGCTGAAGTGGGAGGAGTTCCGTTTGAGATCCTGGAACCGGTACTGGAGCGATGTACGCCCGAGCAACTGTACCGCATCGAGCAGAGCAATCAGGTAACACACACACACACACACACACACACACACACTCTTTCTGGACTTACTGGACTCACAGCTGGAGATTATGTGTGTCTGACTCGACATACTCCGAGGTAGAGGAAGTAGGAGGAGTCTTAACTGTTTCTGTGTTAATATCATTAGAATGTGTTATCAGGACGTTTCTGCAACACAAACTCAACAGTAGAAAACAGACAGACGACCAAGGAGAGCAATATAAAACAGCAAAAGTTTGCTAAAGGTTAAAAACATCGTCGCCCCTGCCCTCCTCCTCACAGTGAATGAATGTCACAGAATAAAGCGTTCACGTTTAGAGCTCAACTGTGACCCGCGGTTCTGGTTCCAGAAGTACATTTCCCCCTTCAAATCCTCCACTGATGTTGCAGAAAATCTTAAAATCGATATTTTTATTTTTGAAATCAAGCCGACCGGCTACCTGAATACTCATTACTATAAAACATTTGATTCTTGGGAAAAAAAAAAAAAAAAAAAAAACGTTGGAAAACAGAGAAAAGGAAGACTGTATATTATTTTTTCCAGGAGTGAAGGAACTACACATCCCACAATCCATTGCAATTCCAAACAAAACGCTTCTTTCAAAACGCACACAGATCTTCTTTCTACAATTATCTTCACTGTAGTGTTTATGTTGTCAATAATAATGATGTCATATGTCGTAGTTTGTGTTTATTTTGTGTTGAACATCTGTAAACTTTACGGGGGTCAGCCCTGTGATTGAGAGTGTACCCCGCCCCTTGCCTCTAATGTCAGCTTGGATTGGCTCGAGCCCCGCCTGCGGCCCCCGACCCACACAAGCTGTATAGATTACAGATGGATGGATAATGTTATGTCAAACAGATTGTGCCTTCATTCACAAGCAGGGCGTTTTTGTAGTTTGTTATCTGGTTTTATCGAGGACAAAGAAATGTAACCTTTCCCTCTCCTTTCAGTGGTTTACAGAGGACTCCGACGATCTGTGGATGCGTCACTGTCAGCGGGACTTTCGGCGGCAGTCTCCTCAGGAGTACGAGTCGTGGAGGGAGATGTACCTGCGGCTGCACGACGAGCGCGATGAGCGACTGAGGCTGCTCACTCAGAACATCTCCGCGGCACACGCCCACAAGCCCAAAGGTCTGAGAACACTTTGACACACTAAACGATTCCAATGTGACAACTCATGCATTTCACAGTGTAACACCGGAATAAAGCTCATCACAAAAGTCGAATCTGGAAAAAAGAAATGCATGGATGACTTCTTCTGAGTCACCAGGAATAAGGAACGACCTGGTTTTTGCTTAATTGTCTAATTTGTGCAAAGCAGGACTGCATCGCTTTGATCACCTGGGTATCAAAAAATAGCTCCGAGTCAGCGATGACCCCCTGGGTTGCTGCACAGACTCAGGGAGAGATTTTTAACGGAGCTAGTACCGGGACCAGAGTGATTAAAAAATAACTCTTAGATAGAAACATACTTCACAGGGATGTGACGGTGTACAGAAGCACTGTTCAGGTAGTTTAACTGTTGTCGTTGTGTTCATCTATGCAGGGCGGCAGGTCAAGATGGCGTTTGTGAATTCTGTCGCCAAGCCTCCGCGTGACGTCCGCCGACGACAGGAGAAGTTCGGCACCACGAGCGGTTTGTCCACAGCCGCCACCACCGCGGCTGCGTGTCCCATCAAGTGAGTGACGCGCTGCCACTTCTAATGTATAATGTCATTCAGAAATATCAGAGCGGCATGTCGACCTCCAGTGTGTTGTTTCTGTAGAATGTTACATTTAAATACGTTTTATAACAACAAATGAAACATCACATCATGTGTGGAGTAAATGTGGAAACATAATAATAAGGTACAGAAGACGAATGAAAAAAAAAAGACAAGTAAGGAGAAACTTTTAAAAGGAGAATAACAAGATATATTCAAAATAAGACAAGGCAGTATTTAAAAAATACAGCCTAAATCTTATATTCTGGTCTTTCACACAAACAGTTTTTTTTACAAAACGATACATCCAATCACAGAAATACAATTTACCTTTTTTTTTTTTTTTTTAAACATATATGCATATGTACACAGTCACATAGACACATATAAAAACGAAAATAACCAAAAAATAAAACAAAGCAAAACAAAAACACTCTGATAAGAATGTAGAAGAAAATAATTAAATTAAATTACAGAGTAAAGTGTAATAAACAATGCACAACCCCCCACCCACGCCCCACCCACTCAGTGCATCAGTAACAGGCACACATTCAATCGGGTAGTACCTCTAAATAAGTGAAATAGGAAATAAAGGGTTGCCATTTGTGGAAAAATTTGACTGTACATCCTCTCAACGTGTATTTAATTTTCTCATGTTTAAAAAAAAAACATGATGTCTTTGAGCCACCGGGAGATAGACGGATATTTATCAGACTTCCAATGCAACAATAAGGAACGTCTTGCTAGTAAGGACGTGAAAGCTATTATGTACAAACAGGTTCAACTTTTGTCAAAGCGACAGAAAGAAGTCTGTCAACGTCCTGAAACGATTGAAAAACAAGATAACAAGATTGAAAAAAATTGAAAAAAACTCCATTATTGAATTTGAGACTTTGACATTCAGCTTCGGGCGCACTCACACAAGGCAATCCGGACCGTACCAAGCATGTTTGACCCCCTACAGTCCAGTCCGTTTGAGTAGTGTGAGTGCTCCGTTTAATGCTCAAGCACGGGACACTTCCTTGGCCAGGCACGGTTTGAAGAGCTGTGCTTCAGCACGGTACAGTTCATGCACAAGCACAAGTACAAGTACAAGTACACAACGTAGACTTGAAGTATAATCGATCCCTGCCTCCATTATGGAGAAATCTCAAAGTGTTCTGGCTGTATCTGACTAAAACGACTCAAAATGAGCCACAAAGTCAGTAAAGTAGCTGTCATGGTATCTGTGTTCTCTGATGCGCAGACTTGACCGTGCGTCACTTTTTAATTTTTGTAGTCCGCCTGTCATGTAAACTCAGCACGCTTCATGATGATGTAAAGTCATGCATGTGTTCTACGACGTGAGGTCACCGTGCTCAGGCCCTGTTAGTCCTGGAGCAGTGTGTATGGGGTGCACCCTAATTCACCTATCTTTCTTTTCTTTTTTTTTATTTGTCTTTTCAGAATAAGACCAGCTACCACAGACTACTCCGGTGAATCAAGCCGCTCCTCCCAAAATAACGCTCTGCCTGGCTCGTCTCGCTCCTCTGCACCGGGTGGAGGAGGAGGAGGAGGAGGAGGAGCTGGAGGAGGAGCAGCTGGAGGAGGACATGCTGCCCGTGACAAACCACAGGTCAAAAGTAAGTGTGTTGTTTTTTTTTTTCTAAGCTGAATTTTTTTTTTTTGTTTACAATTATTTTTCTGATTTCCCTAAAAAAAAAACCGTTTCTCTGTATCTTCTTCCTCTCGCAGAAATCGCCCCGATGATGGCCAAAACTATCAAAGCGTTCAAGAACCGATTCTCCCGGCGATAGTGTGAATGAGGCTGAATGTATTTAATGAATTCCAACTGTTTTTAATTTAAAAGTTTAGAATAATGACCAGAAAACCCACCCACACGCCCCCTGTGTAAACATACACACAGACCATGATCTTCTCCCACCAAACATATCAAATGAACTTTTTGGTAGGGGTGGCATTTTTTTCTCACTCTCTCTCTCTCTTTTTTTTTAAGTGGTGGCATTTATTTTAGGAGTCCTGGAAAAAGTATTTAAATCACAAATTACTGTCATTGGGTGTCACATCTGTGGAAGGAAGTTATGTCACTAACTTCTTACTCGAAGTGAGAGGACACACACCCGTACAAACACACCGTCTGTTACGTTTTCTTGCTTTTTTCTCAGCAGATATTTTAAAAAGAGAAAAAGCTCAAACTTTTGGGAAATGCACTCGCATACTTCGTCACCGCAACTTGGACTTAGAGAGGATCGATGCCACTTTCATGTCTGCACGCTAAATATGAAGCTACAGCCAGCAGCGGTGTAGCTAAGCTTAGCGTAAACCAGCAGCAACGTAGCTTAGCATAAAGACTGAAGATGGAGGGAAAGAGCTCGCCTGGCTCCGTCACATCCACCTAAAAAAACCTTCTAACGCTCACTTATTAACACATCCTATTTCTTCCATTTCTGTCATACAAACAGGAAAACATGTGAACTTGTTTTAAACAATGAGCCTGACTTTTCTTGGCCAGGAATCCTCGACAGGAAACGGCCAAACTTTATTTTGCACAAACTACTTGTTATATTTCTGCACAACTTCTCGTGTCAATGAGTGAGCATTAGACGTACAGGGCGAGCGTCTCTGCTGTTCTCTTCTGTTTCTTCCACGCCTTATGCTAAGCTAAGCTAACTGCCCACTGGTTGTAGTTAACTAAATAGTGTAAAGACAAGTTAGTGGGTATTGATGTCCTTCTTCAATGTTTTGGCAAAAAATGTGTACGTCCCAAAACATCAAACTTTTCCTTCATGGTTGAGAGCGTCGGTTCATTTTTGATCAGATGATGCACTACGTCAGGAAATCATGCTCTTATTTATATCTTTTAACGACATGCGTGGTGCACGGCAGCCATGGGATTGAGATTCTTAACAGAGGCATCAAGCGGCTGGTTGGAGCTCCACTTTTAAACAAAGCAAACATATTTTAACATGTTTTACACAGCGGTCGTTTTTTTTTTTTTTTTTATGTTTAGGGATGAAATGAGATTGATGAACTACACACACACACACACACACACACACACACACACACACACACACACGCATTATATAGACTTTTTTTTAACCCTCCTGTGGCTTCAGATCATGTTTTACCTGCTTGTCAAATGTGTGTATCTTTGTTTATATCTGCTCCACTGTGACAAGCTAGTTTGTGTGAGGGCTGCTGAAGAGACTGCAGGAAGAAGCAAATCAAGGAAAAAGAACAATAAGGAAGAAATAGGAAGAAAAAACAAGAAGTGCATCAGTCTACAACGATTATGAGATGTATTTATTTTCAACACTGGGACCCCACAGAACTGGCCTGAATGAAAGTAGATTCCAAATTGTAATTTTATTAGATTTTAATAAATGTTATATGGTCATTTTTATTAAAATTGACTTTTGCCCTTAAACCTGTTTGTTGTGTGTTTGTTTATCAGACAGCAGCGTAACTTTGCATCATAATGGACACATTCAGCTTGTACAGGAATAAAAGTGTGTGGCTTTATTTAAGAGCTTCCAACATGTGTTTAATTTCAACCTTGTAATGTCGCATTGATCCCGAATTAAACCTGAACTCTGTCCTTTGTTTTTGTTGTTATAAAGAAACGTTACCTTTACGACATCTGCGTCAAACGGTTTGCGACATCTTCGTCGTTTGGTGGTCAGAGAAGAGAGCCAATTGGAGCACTCATCACGTGTGTGGTGTTTTGCTGTCAAGTGGCTTCAAGGTTGCAGAAAATGACTTCCTGTGAGTTACTCTTCCCCTTCAAAATAAAATATCCTTAGGTATCAAGTGGAGGACACATTGGTATTTATTATTATGTAAACTCATTTACTCATTTATTTTAAATTAAATAAAATATTAAGTTTATTTTGTCAAATGTTCAGTCTTATTTTGTGGGACACACTTTAACAAAATCCAGAAATAAAATCTCGCCCCAGTTTGCCCGTAATTTACAGTTCAATATAAAGGTTTAAGAGAAAGAAGAGATAGAAATATAATAAACACGAGGGAAGTTCTGGTGCCAGGTTTCTTGAACTTTACATTTAAAAATAATAATAACAGGAGTTCATCAAATATAAGTGAGATACAGTAAAACCTAAATTGTATTATAATGTACTCATTTGATAAAGAGTTCATTTCAAATCAAATTTAAACCTCAAAAGGCAAAAAAAAAAAGACAAATAGATGGATGATAAGTAAAGTAACAGTAAATCCAGAGAAAGTAAATCATTAATTGACAGCAGTATTAGAAGTTTGGACCCAGGTTCTGTGTGAGTGAAATATATGAGGGTGTTGTTGGAAATCTTGCTAAAGAATTTAATTTCATCAAAGTTTTGATGCCTCTCTAATTTACAAAATGTTTTACTTCTTCTTTTTTGATTTATGAATATTTATGAAAAACTTAAAGCTGCTGTTAAATCTAAATTTCAGGATTGAGGGAGAAGGTAGAGACAAACAGAGCAACAACAACAATACTGAATATGATATGATTATAGCTACAATGTCGGTAATAATGGTAAAAGTATGTGTAGTATCAGCAGTAACAGCTAAGTGTAATAACAGGCTGTTCAGTCTTATATTAACATAAACAACTGTAATAAAAATGAAACGCGGAGGACTGATTATGTTAATTATAGAGGTGGAAGTTGAGCAGCGCTTAGATTCAATTTAATATTTATATTAATAATAATATTACAGCTCTAAGATTCACTTCAATGTGTTAAAAAAAAAAGCACAAGTTAAAGCACTTTTATTTTGAAAATCTTGAACCAGAAGTTAAATTCGAACTTCGCTTCGCTTGCCTCGGATATCAGTTCGCCTGGCTCCGCGAAGTGAAACTTGCATTTTTAGGTTCCCCCCTGTGACAAACGCCAAAACAAGCGGCTGTTGTAAGCTGCGTACCCCCTCCCTCCGCCGAGCTAACTTTAACGGAAAAGTCACGTTTTGAGCCCCACGATGTCCGGGCACGGTCACGGACACGGGCACGGCTGCGGGTGTGAGGGGGAGCACGAACCCGCGGAGAGGGGTCTGGAGTACGGGTTGTACAGGCGGATCGACACGGAGAAGCTCCAGTGTCTGAACGAGAGCAGAGACGGGGACGGGAAGCTGGTGTTCAAACCCTGGGATCAGCGGAACGAACGGGACAAGGTAACCGCGGCGAAGGTGCCTCTCCCTCGGACACTTCAGCGGGGTGTTCTCTGTCGTCATCCGGGTCTGAGTGCTGTGTCTGCGGGGCTTCTGTTTCTGAACCTCGCTGTGCAGCTATGGAGCTATTTTATCAAACAAAACTTTATTTACACAAGTGAAGATGACAAATGTCTAATAGTCTGATGACAGCTTTGGATTAATGGTGATAAAATATTTTTAAAGGGTAAAATAATAAACATCAAACAAACAAACAAAAAAAAACTGTATTATTTGTTTTATGCTTCCAGGGTCTTGTTTAAGTAAATGTAGGATCAATGTACTTCTTATATCATATTTAACAGATTTCATGATCCATTTGTGGTATTTTAATAATGTTCACAGCTATAACCAGCTCTGTGTTACCCAAAACCAGTCCAACCAGTATCCTGATCTTCATATGTGTGACTAACCGATGCCCATTAATGACTATTTTTTGTATTTTCTGTATTTTCTGTAAGTATGTCGACAGCGATGCAGATGAAGAGCTGCTGTTCAACATCCCGTAAGTCCTCAAATCATCCTCATCATCATCATCAAGACATCAGGCCTGAACTTTGACCTTTTCTTGTGAAGGACAGATAACTTATTTTTTGGCTGTTTCCATATTTACTAAAGAATCTATATTTGGAGATGTAACACACAAACTAAGAGGCTGTGTAGGAGAGCAGCCTGAGATTATTAAGACAGAAACTGTTTTTTTTTTTTTTTATAAATCCCTTTTGATGCTGTTTTTACTTTGCTTTTTTTTTTGCTTCTCCTCTTTTGCCAAAGCGTCTCTTTTCTTCTCCTCTTTCGCAGCGTCTTGTTATTTCTGTCTCTTTGTGATTTCATTTTCTGTTTCAGTTTTACTGGCAGCGTGAAGCTAAAAGGCATCATCATATCTGGAGAGAACGACGACTCGCATCCAGCTGAGATCAGACTGTGAGTGTCTGTCCCTTTTTTTTTTATATGAAAAGAAGAATCTTAAGCCACCTTCCTCTGAATTCATACAAAATGAGTGTTTCACTAATTAAACCACCTCTTTAACAAAGTTTGAAATCAAAATCTTTGTCCCTCTTTGTGCCATTAAAGCCTCCTTCTTTGAACTTTTTTCTCTTCAGGTACAAAAACATCCCTCACATGTGCTTTGACGACACCGGCCGAGAACCTGAACAAGCCTTCAGACTCAACAGAGACCCTCTGGCTGAGCTGGAGTACCCGACAAAGTGAGTGAAACATAAACTGTGACCTTTATGTCCTCGTGATATGATTGTTATTCCCGTTGAGTCGACGTGTTTGTCCTGCTCTTCGAGACGAAGCATACGAACACGACGCTGATCTTTGAATCAAGAAAATCTGAAGTTTCCTGGCGCGCCTTGTTTGACACTTTAAAGCAACAATATGAAACTTTTCACCAACAAAATCAGTTCCTTGTTGGGTCACATCCAGCGAGAGCGAGCCCTCTGTGTGACGATCTATCGACTGTTTAACTGAGACTCACTAGAAAACGGGTGAACGGGCGCCACTCTGGGGGATGTAACGCACCGAGAAATGACGGCGTTTACGATGCTGACAGAAAAGGAAGTCTTGGCTTGAAGTTGCTTAACACTCACTTAACTCCAGAATGTCAGAGAAGTTGGCGTCTGTTCCCAGTGGCCCCGAGCGTTGTCAGACTGTGAAAGACGATGGTTGTCTGAGATTTGTACCAAAGTAAAATACTTGAGTGTATTTTTGTAATTAGTCAGAATTAACCACTGACACCAGCTCACTTCTGGCAACGCTCACAGAAACACTGTTGTCAAAATAAATCACGGGGTCACCTACAATAAAAGCGACGAGCATGAAAGACATGATCACTTTTTATTGTTCAGAATGTTTCAGATTAAACTTTCAGCGGCTGCTCAGGGATTCAGATTTTGTCCCTTTTTATTGGGAAATCCTCCAAAAAAGACTTGATGAAGGCTTCTCGATATATCTGCTCTGGATCAGTATTTTAAAGGCGGTCTTCAAGCTGTACAGTCTCACAAGAGATGGAGATAGAGAAGTGATAAGATAAAGTAGCTGGTGTTTAACGTGCACCAGGAAGCTGTGACATCTCATCTTTGTGATGTGGTCGAACAAGCGGTCGAATCACAAGTGGAACCAAGGTGCTGTTTTCTTTCTGTTTGTCTCAGTGCGCCATGCATGTGTCAACTTGTATGCACACACACACACAAGTCGGTTCAGGAATTACATTTCCCTTTCCTTCTTATCCTTTTCAGCGATGGTCTCTCGGACCCAGGTGGTTCGATGTTCTGTCCTCTGAGTATGCACTCTTCCGTCTGTCTTTGGTCTCCAGCTGAAGCGTCTCTTTCTTTTTGTCATGTGTTCCAGGATCGCTCGCTTCTCCAATGTTCAGCACCTCTCCATCCACATCTCCAAGAACTTTGGAGACGAGAACACCCGGGTCTACTACATCGGTCTGAGGGGGGAGTACTCCGAGGTATCCTCCGTCTGATTCCCTTTTTTATCCAAAAATGTTTCATTCAGATGATTCAGATGAGTTCCTGCGTTTAAGATCTAAAAACATTTCCAGGGACTGACTCTGTAAACTTCCTGTTTCATGGTTGTTTGTGCTGTTTGCGTCAGTCCTGAACTTCTCTGAATGAAGATATTATTTTGATGAATGGGGCATCTCAAGGGGATCAGATAATTTTCTTGGAAAACTTTGTTATTTCTCCGCTGTAGCTCAGATACTAAAAGAGTTCTTGTGTGCGGTTGAGCTCGTTGTCCCTCAGAAAGAATAACTCTGAAACTCTCTAATGCATTATTTAAAAAATGACCATATACCCCGTTATTTTAAACATCCCTTCTGTTTTGTTGATAACCCATTGGCTTAAAAAAATAAAACTGTTTTCACACATGCACATACCTTCTTACAGTTTCCATACATGTTGTTGCTGTTTGTGCAGCTTGCAGCATTTACTTTGAGTGCTTTCACATTTTCACAAAACTCCTCAGGGTTAGCTACATGTGTGACCGCAAGCGGAACAACATTTTCACCCCGACTTCATCCGCTATTTTCCTGCCAGTCCTCTAGCTCTGGGTCGGCTACTGTGAGAATGCAACTGGAAATATTTAGGAAAATGTGCAGCAAGCGAGAGGGAGGGGGTGGTGACATTTAGATCCTGAGACCTGCGTTTGACCAAAGTTTGTTTGCAAAGCACACGGTGCGATCCCCGTGGATGTTATGAAACTGCTTCTTCATGTTTTCTGTTGATCAGAAGGTTGTTCTCCACTCTTTTGTTGATATTGTCAAAGTGTTAAACTAGTATTGATAAGGGCAAAACATTTCATTATAGCGTCCGACTCTGTTGCCGACCGGGATCAGTTGAGAGGGAATTTCAAATGCTGTTCCCCTTTTTCACTTTGAGCACCTGCCCCTCTGCCTGAGCCTGTAGCACGATAGCGTTCCTCTAAATCTGCACCAGTGTTTCTGTAATTTGACCGCTCTTGTTCTCCTCGTGCTCTTCAGGCTCACAGGCATGAAGTGACCATCTGTAACTACGAGGCCTCGGCGAACCCCGCAGATCACAAAGTGGAGAGCATCATCCCGCAAACCAACTTCATTTCCTGAAAGCGTCAGAGAGTGGTGAGGATGACGAGGACGAGGAGGATTAGACGGAGGGGCGTCTGCTTGACAGAGGTCAAAGTTAAGATGAGCTGAGGTCAACTGTTCGCACCGCGTGTTTCGGTTGAACTCGACGGCCGACTGAGCACAGAGATCTGAAGAGCAGCGAGCTTCAGGTGTGTGTGGGACTGTGCCAGGATTTGCGCTGTTTTCTACTTTAAGAGTGAAGGCTTAATGTGGGCACAAAGCTTCATAATAAATGCATGAAACATCTCACGTCTGTTTTCACCTGTGATTTCCCATTCACATTGAAAATATCTACAGATTCAATAAAGTGACGGCTACTCTGATAAAAACGCTGAAACTAAATCTTCTCATGGTTTTTTTTTATCCTAAATACATTTTTACAAATGGCATAGTTACAAAAGAAAGAAAACATCTGACATGTGAACAAAGACAAGAAACACAAGACAGAGCAACTGACACAAAACCAGAACAAAGAAATCTCTTATGAGAGCTAAACAACACAGTTAGAAAATTTGATTCCATGTTCACATCCTGGGTTTATAACCTTCATATGATACGATTCTATAGTGTAAGGTATCTGATGGAGTAGAAAACATGCAAACATAATTAATAATAAAATATCTTAGTTCGCTTAAAACTCAAACACTCAAAAGTGCACATTTGAAGCCTCTTTCTTTCTACACATAAGCACCATTTTAAATGCCCACAGTGTCATTTGTTATTTGCATTTATAAAGCCAACACACTCACTGGCTAGTACTCCATATTTCTGCCTCCTATCGCCTTCTTAAGTGTCCAAACAGGAGCTCTGATTGGTTTCTTTCTGCGCTCATTTCCTGAGTTTCTACCTGGGATGAAACATCTGCATGGTGCATCAGTCAGTTAACTCAGAACCTTTGCTGTCACCTGGTGGAGAGCCACACTTTGTGGAGTCAAGGGAAGGTACTGAGACTCAGACTGGGCTTAAAGGTTTAAAACATAACGCTTCATAATGAAATGATAACAACAACTTTACACTTTAATAAAAACACATCGTGTCCATTTTGCCTTCTGACCAAAGCTTACTGCATTGAACTCTGCAAACATCAGTCTTATAATCCTCACACTTTATCTCTCTCCCCACACGAGAATTCATCTGTCATTCATTTGCTTACTTCTGTTATTAATGTCATCATGCAGTTACTGTCAGCCTGTGAGTTCTGTAACAAGAAGCTCAATGTAGAAGATGATAAAGAAACATCATGTCTGAGCTCTCAAAATAAAGTTATTTTTACAGAAAAGAAGTCTTGAAAAGAGAATGTCCCGCTCACTGCTCTTGCTCAGCGTCAGCTTTCATTAGAAAATACACAACGTTTCAGTCCCTGTGGAGCTTTGTCAAGTGTGCTCGAGGGGGCAAAACATTTAGTATTTTCTAAATATTGATGCTGAGCTGGAGCAGTGTGCAGGGTTTCCTCTTATCAGGGCGACAGCTAGATAGAGAGATAGATACTTTATTGACCCCGAGGGAAATTCAAAGCATCCAGTAGCAGGTTACAAAGACATGACATGAAACATTTGTTACAAATTAAACCGCAAAATCGACACCCCCCCCCCTCCCATACATATATATTAACCTGAAAAAAGATTTAAAGAATACCCCTAGATGAATCAAACTTAAATTGTGCAATTAAAAATAGATTTATTTCCATAAATGTACACAACCAATGCAGGGATAAAAATATATGTGACATTTAAACAAGAACCTATAAACAGTTGAGGAAAAAAAATCTGTAATTAAACCTGAATATAAAAAATAAAAAAGTGTTGACCTTCTGAAGTTGTGTTAAACCTCTGACACACCTGCAGCTTCATGAGATCTTTAAAGGTGCAACCACCTCCTTGAAAATATAGGAAAGAAGCAACATTTTTTTTATTATAACACAAAGGCTGCTCATAGTTAATCTGAAGTTTTAGGTATTTATACTGATTTTATTATCTCACATAATTTCATAGCATAGATTTTGCCTTGTAAATGAACATTCATTAATGTAAAACTTTGCTTGGAATATTAATGAGATTTATTCAATGAAATCTGACATTCTTTGGCAAACCCTCCACACATGTACAGGAATAAATAGTGAATTTGCTTTGCTTTGACCCTTGACACATTCTTATCTACTGACCTGGTAATGCTGCTTCTGGCTTTTTATTATTTTATTTTTTTTAATTTACTTATTTTTATTCCACCTTACCTATACATCAGAATATTATTATTAACACTTAATTGTGTATATTTATGTTTTATTTTATTTATGCATTTATTTATGGGGGGGATTGTATTGGGGTGGGATCATAGACTGTAAATATGTGGGATCTGTTTGTGTTAATGTGTGTAATTATCTAAAATTCAATAAAAAAATAACTTTGAAGGAATATAATGAGATTTATAATATACTATTAACTTCTACGTGACTATTATATTTGTAAATCTCATTATATTCCAGGCGAACTATTTCATTGGCGCTGATTCACGGAAGGGCGTTGCTAGGCTACTGACGTCACCACGCTCTATCCACCCCCCCCCTCCCCTCCCGCCCCCTGCTTGTGTGCGGCCAGTAGCGGAAGTTCCGTTCCGTCGAGAACTGGGACAGCAAGCGGTGAGTGTATGAATTTGTATCTAGCTAGCAGGCCGCGGTTTGTAATTTTCACCTCTTTATCCCCGGTCCAAAATGTGTTTTTTTTGTTTTACTTGAGCACCGTGATGCTTGAGGTGTCTTCCACCGAACCTGGTCGTGTTAGAGGCGTGAATTTTAAAGTGCGAGGTTGCCTTGAAGTAGACGGAGAAAGACACCGGGTAGAAGACAATGCAGCTTAATGTGTGTGTGCGACGTTAGCTAGCATCTCTACCTTACTACCACTAGCCCCGGTTATTGTGTAGATGTGTGTGTGTGAGTGTGTGTGAGAGAGAGAGAGAGAGAGAGTGTGTGTGTGTGTGTGGTTGGCTAAACCGGGATTAAACTTGAGTGCTGAATGCCATCACTATTGAGGATGATGAGGATGGGTCAAATAACACAGTTAAGCTTCAACCATTCATTGTCTCCTATCTCCTTTCTCTTCCACTCGCTTCCTTTCCTTGAACTGCCGCTTCTGATTTTTTTTTTTAATTTTTCATCATATTAGCCTTTGCACTTGCTTGTTTTTGGTTTTTAACGTGATACTTAACCGAGATATTAACCTCCATCAGTGCAGAATGGGGTTATCTGCTGGTGTATGGGAGGAGGAGGGGGGGGGATGCCTGTCACTCAATGCCGCATATTATCCTGTTGTTTGCCAGCCATCCGTAGCCACTGAGCAAAGAACTGTGTGTGTGTGTGTGTGTGTGTGTGTGTGTGTGTGTGTGTCGTTTGAGTGTGTGTGTGTGTCGTTTGACTGCAGCACGCTTCTGTTTTTTTCATGTTTGCCTTAAATGTAATTGGAGTCATGCAGGATGGAGACTCGTGATCTGTTTAAACTTGGCTGTAACACATGCCTCCTTTATCTGGTCTTTCCCTGTTTTGTGTCACCCTAAAAAAAAAAAAAGAAGAAGCTTTTACAATAATCTTTTTTTCTTGCATAACCAGTAGTGTCAGAGTCATTACTTTGTGATTTTTCACAATAATAGTATAAATGTCACTCTGGTGTAGGGCTGGGACATGAACCAAGTTTTTTTTTGGTTTTTTTTATCATGTGTTTCCAGAGGCAATGTCTTTGATATCGTTGTGGTTCATGTTGGATTAAAATAAGGTTGTATGTTTCTCCTCTCACTGTCTGTCCCTCTTCGCCCTGCTCCATCTCTCTCCCTCTCTGCATAACAAATCACACAGCACAGTATGTATTTTGTTATGCAGGAAAGGAACATTATTTATTAATTTTTCTTTATTCATTGAATATTTTTCTTTAATATTAAACATTTTTTAGTTTAAAAACATATCCAGATTAGATTTTTGGTCCCTGTGGCCCGGCCCTACTTTGATGTAATCCAAACATTTCCTCTAATTAAGAAACCCTGACTTCCCCTTGAGTCGTTTTTAAAGGTCTTTTGGCTTTAAATGCTTTTAGGAGACTGTTGACAATAGACGGATGAAGAGGGGTGAGGGGACCGGGAGATGACAGGGTCCCCGTCTGGACTCAAACCAGCAGAGATGAGTAATAATGTCAGAGACTTCAGAGCAACACACCGCCCAAACTTACTGTAAAGTACACAAAGTCATGACCCGGAAAGCAACTCATAATTTATTTCTGTTGATGTACTTATCATTTATTTCATTCATTTGAATTAATCATTAAAATAACTTTTATTGCATCATTTTAAAACACTGTTATATTGGAAATTTGGAAAACCTTACTAAGAATAAAGACAGTTTACTTTTAAAAGCTACGACGGGGAAATGGTTGCCCTTAATCTTTGATAATTGATTTAGATGAGAAAAGAAGTTGGAGCTGGTTTGACTCGCTGATGGACAGGAAGTGATTCTCCAACATATTTGATAATTGATTTAAGTAGAATAAAAATACCACATTGGTTTTCTTCCAAAATGATGTCAGTTTAGGATTGGTTAAGAATACAAAGGATATTTTAAATGACAGAAGGGGAACCTTTCACTTATTTTTCCTCTCAAAGACAAAGTGATGATCTCAGAATATTTAAAAAAAAAAAAAAAACGATACCAGCGTGTAATCAGTACCTGTTCTCATTTCTTCTCCCTTAAAGGTTGATGCATTATTTGTGCATTTTCATCCACGATCTGAATATTCATCATTATTATTTGTTATTAAGGGTTGTGGAATATCAAAGAGTCATTAATAATCAGGTTTTTTTTCTGCATCCATTCAGTTCTTGCACAGTCCGCTGATGAATGCTATTAGATACTCCAAAGTCAAAGATCACATTGACTTCACATACATGAACTACAAGTCCTTTCTTTTAGCATTTCTTTAACCCAACATGAATCGGACTCGATGCTTGTGCACAGCACGACACTATTTATAACCGCCGGCCTCCTCCAGATGCACAGAGAGCGAGCCATTGTGTCTTAGCGCGTGCGTGAAAAACCCACATGGCGCTTTATGCAGGGTGTGTGCAGTACAGGTCATTGTTAATCTGCTGAACAATAAGGGGTGGAAAAAAAGGGTCTAAAAGTGATTAACAGCGTCTTTGCATATGCTAACTATTCCTGGATGCTTGTCCTACTTGTTGGAACAGATTGTCCGTTGTTCCTGCACTCCTTCACCTCTCACTCCTCAGAGTATTTTTCTCATTATATCTTTATTTATTTCCCTCCGCTCTCTTTGTGCTGTCTTCTTTTAGTCTTATTATCTGTGCGGCTCAGGCTGATCCCATTTAAATGCGACCAAATTACATTTGTTATAAAAAACTTAAAAAGACGCTTAACACTGAAGTAGAAATTTTACGACTGTGGAAGAACATCTTGTGACGCACGTTTTAATCACATCACAGTTTGTTCCTGTCATTTGGTCCAAAAGGAGGTGTCGAGCACAGCTTAATATGCCTGGTGGAAAACTGGAAGAAGCAATCACATCTAGTAAATTCAAAGCACCAACCAAGGCCTGTTTGTTGCCTTTGGATCAAGCTTTGAAAGCACCAACCAAAATTTTAAAAAACTAATGAAATATGAAAGAAAGTAATTTTAGCTAAATGTAACTGCGGCAACTAAAAGTGAAAGGGCTGGTTCTGCAGAGAAATGGCTGATGTATACTTCTCAAAATAAGTGAAAAAACAATAAATATAAAACTTTATCTTCACCAAAATGGTGTGGAAGATCAAACAAAGCACGTCTTTGGAATTGTATGTAAGAAAAGAACAATTCTGCATTAACCGTCCTTACAGAAGACATAATCTAACAACGCCAGATTTAACGTTAAAACTTCAAAAAAGTAGCTTCTCTATCGCTATTGTGATTGTGTAGAACTACCCACAGCATTCATATGAAGACAAACTTGTCATCATAACGTCGGGCTCTATAGCTTCCAAGCGACAACATCTGTGTTTGAAAATGAAGCCATTGCAGAAGTTCAAAATCCTGCAGTTCGTCGAGGGTCCACTTGGGGCGGCGGTAGTCCGTTGTTATGATACATGAAGACCATTTTCGCACCACTGTCGCGCACCACTCATGTTATAGGTAGTTTACTAATGGAGAATGATGTTTGATAAAAAGTTGAAAATGGCGCTGGCGTTGTTAGTTCTTGGTCTTTTAGTGGAAAAAGAAAAGAAGAGGCGGAGGTGACAAATAAGGAGAAACCGCATTAATGGATGAAAGCATGGAGACTACAGCAGCATGCTCAAGAGGCCTTCCTGAACCTGTATCGGATCGAATCGGCCAAAAAAAAAGGCAGACTGGTTGTGACGGAGCCGGACACACGGCAAAAACTAGGGGGGACAACTGCTCACCGACGGACCAATGGCTGACCATCTCCTTGGTGTCTCCTTTAGGTTGACTGAAAGTTTCCAGCATGGAGACCGCGTATCGACAGGACTCCACTTTAAACTTTAACATTTCTTTTTACAAATCCTATGATATTTTTAAACTTTACATGAAAAGTAGATAGCCAGCGTTAGCTGTACGCTCTGCAGCTACAATGTTCTCCGTGCATATTTAAAACCACTCATCCACTGAGGAAGTTTCCCCTCCCCCTTCTTTTTAACACGTTAACATTTTATCTAGACCTTTGTGCTGCACAGTAAGAGGCTATTTCCTGGTGCTTTAACCCTGCAACTTATTATTCTGCCATTACTCATTCATCAAAGGTCAGGATGTAGTCCTGACAGTCTTCTTTTGTCCACACTTTGACTCGTTGAATCACACGTTTACCTCCAGCTTCCGTGTATTTTGACCTTCAGAAGATAATTTATGTGGGCAAACACATAAACAGAGCGCAGCAGCTTTAAGCTTCCTCTGCCGTAACAGCGGTGGAATTTTAACACCCGTAGACTATAATCCTGCTCCAGGTTTACACATTAACCTCAGCGTCTGAGACATTTTCACCCCCCCCCCCCCCCTCATCGCCTGTTTACCAATCAGACCGCTCGCCGTCTGACCCGCCCGGCTCGTCTCATTTCTCGCTCTCCTGTCCCACATCATCACAAAGTTAGAGGGCATTAAGGAGTGAAAGCTGTTACTGCCAGGCTTTACTGTAAAACAACATCCTGATCTGATGTCTGTTATCGAACGTCTGACTCACGGTGCAGAGAGGCGCACGCCTGCAGCCGCTTCACCGTGCAGGGAGAGAGAGAGAGAGAGAGAGAGTGGTTCATTTGGTTAATGAGTCTGGTGGTCACTTGCTGACTTCAGAAACCTGCCCGACACACTCAAACACTAACCTGATGACTTCTGCTGTGGGCTCAGCAGCAGGTGCATTGTGGGTTTTTGTGTGTTAGAAGTATGTGCAGCTTTTTTCCCGGCCTGCATTCTGAGTCCGCTGTGTTCTTGGTGGAAAATAAATAAAATGTGAAAACACAACATGACAGATGAGCCCTGCACGATGTTAGAAAAACATGCAATGTGTCAATAACATCGTTCAATATGGCAACAACGTTTGTGTTGTAAATTATAAAAACTAAGGAGTGCTTACTTTCTGCAACACAGTTTTTATGTATCTGCTGTTCTTCAAGTTTTATGCTGCTACAAACGCTCTTAACTCATTGAAAACAAATGTGCTGGCACTCAGAAAAAACCGCTAGGTGGACACAGATCACAAGTAGACACCAATTATCCACATTTAGCTGTATCAAAATGTTGTGAAAGGAGTGGCTAGCTCTGTTTCATTGTGCTGGTTCAATTCCTTCAGGGCCTTTCGGTTTTCTGAGGTTGCAGGTTCTCTACTAAAGACATGCGTGTCAGGTTAATTGTTAGGTTGTAACGCCCATGCCCGTAGGTGTGAGTGTGCCTGGTAGTCTGCCTCTGGGTGTGTGTCAGCCCGCCTCTCGCCCAACGACATGGAAATGGTTTATTGCGATTTATTTAGAGCATAGTCGCATCGCAATAATGATGAAATAACGATCCGTTGCGCATGCCTTTCATGGATACTTCTCTACACAATGTAAGTACAGTATTACAAGTGTCGTCGAGTTTCCTGTTTTGAATGAGCTCTCCTCTTAAGTATTTGAATACATCCTGCCGAACAGGTTTAGACGAATAGAAATGTAAAATGAAAATCGACCTTCAGCGCATACTGAATTCAATAGAATATAACTTCCTGTATTTTTTTATACATTTCTATCATTGCAGCACTTCTTTCACCTCTGAAAGCGCACTCACAGAGCAGGCATCCGCCAAGGCCGTCCATTCAGACTTTTATTGGACACGGCTCTGCAAGCACGTCCACTTTATCTGTCTGGATGTGTTTCTAAAGCATCAGGATACAAGCTTTAGAAGAATATTGTAAACATTTCACATCCTTTATGTACATTTTTGACTAAAAGAAGTCATGATTCTGGACACACGATAATTACACATCAAATGTGGAAATAAGACGATCAACATGCAGCTATTTCTTTTTAACCTGTTAGTGATCTAGATCAGGGTTAACTCCAAAACTGAACCTGTTCCTCCGCCCTCCACGCTGAATCCTGACACAGATAGTGTCATGTAAACTGGGTCAGTAGCGCTTCTGCAAATGTGTAGGGTTGTTAAAATACCAGAATTTTAAAAATATTCATACCTGTTTGGATAGCATCAAAAGTAGAAGTCCTCTGCCGTCGATAAGGGGACCTTTTATTGTTTTTAATCTGTTGTCTCCTGCACACGGTCCAGATTGCAGAAAAATACATTAAACCAGTGGCTCCCAAAAGTGGGGGTCGGGACCCCTTGGGGTCGCAAGACACTGAGGGGGGTTGCGAGATTCCTTCCAAAAACATGTAAAAATTATTTACCCGTTATTGTGAAAATATATACAAAAAAACGTATTTAAAGAGATTACATGTTTTGTACATTTCTAAAATGATATGAAGGGTTTTTGGGCTGTTGTGTGGCGTTCTGATATTTGGGGGTCGCAGGCTTAGGAGTTTGGGAACCCCTTCTTTAAACCCTCGTAACACTTTATCATTCTGAACACTTTGAAAAACTGACAATCTATTAAAATGAACAAGAGGGATGAACTCTTGAGGCCAAAATCTGACAACAAACAGTTTAAACATTGACCACATAGTGTCAAAACCTACGGACAAAACGAGCGGCACAAGGCATGCAGCGCTGTCCTCGTTTAATCTTGTTTGTCTTGTTTTTATGATCCTTGGAAGCCAAAATCATAATCGAAATTGAAACTCGATTTGTGCAATTTAAAAGGTGCTCTCTCTCTCTCTCTCTCTCATTTGCTCGCCGCAGCTTTCTGTCATTCTTAACATCTTCCATATCATCAATCGCTTAAATAACGGAGATTGTGTTATGTTTATCATGTGGTACAGATGTGTCGAACACTTCAACGACTTCATAACAATGTACTACTGTTATAATGGTGATCATATGGCCGTTGAAGCTTGTTGCTCTGAGTAACATTTGAAGGCTGTGTTTATTAAACATTAACCAACATGAACATATTAAGATGTTCTCGTCTTTTTCACAGCTGGACAGTCGATGACACGGTTTCCAAACATTTTTAATAGATTTCTAAATTAAACAGAAAGCTCCATCATGGATATAATGTCCTTGTTCGCTTTTATGAGGCGCACGGCTCGCTAATCCTTCAGACTTAAAAAAACCGGAGGAAACCAGTCTTGATGAATTTAATAAGATGTAATCAAATGACTCCAGAGCCTCAGGTGTAAGCTGATTAATGTTTTTGTTTTGAGAGACATTTAAGCGTCTGTTAAATGCTCCGGCAGCTGCACAGGAACAAGAAATGGAGACATGTGCACATCTTTTAGAAATCTGTTCTAACTTCCTGAGTTGAATAACACGCTCTCTGTTTGGTCTTGATGCTCATTACTACATGTAATGTAAGTGTAGTCGTCTGACGTCTGTGTCTCTGTCTTCTCTCTGCAGCATCTTCTACAGTGTATGTGTGGCAACAACATGTCTGTGCCGCTGCTCACCGAGGCTGTGACGGTGTCTGCCAAGGAGAAGGAGACTGCAGTGGTGAGATGAAGCACCAATCCTCACACTGTTTTTTTTTTTTTTTTTTATTTCATGAAATTGAGACCCATGAAAGGAGCTTAGAGAGAGCTCCAGATATGAGAGGAAGAGAAGGCCCTCTTCAAGAGTCGTGACGGATCAGACTGAATCTTTTCTTTTGCAGATTTATCTCAGGCTGGCTGCGTTGCACCAGATCAGATCTATGCTGGGGTATCGGGTTCGGCCGATTAAATTCAGGGACGGACGGGCCAAATTTGATTTCAATATTTAGGTTTAAAATGAGCGAAGTGTGCTCTGGTAAGGTGCACGCTCTGCCAGCTTTTCTCAGCAGAACTGTAGCCCTTTATCAGACGTCTTTTTTATTTATTTTTTGTCATCACGTCCTTCTACATTCATATTGATTGTACAACAGCGTAATATTGTTGTCCCAGTCTGTGAATTAACATTAACAAACACAGCACAGTGGGAGCTTCGCATACACGCACACAGTCAGACATGCAGACACACACAGCGCTGTGCTCCCCCACTTGTTCCACTGAAACCGTCCCTCCTCTGTAACGCCTCTATTATCACTTCGTCCCCCACTTGCGCCTTCCGTGACATTCACACAAAAAGGACTAATTAAATATTAAGATTTGAACGTGGCCTGTTTCTACATTTCTTAAAAAATGAAATTACAAATGGTTTATTAGTTATCGGATTCGGTCCCTCAATGCATCTTCAGATTGACCTTAAAGTTAATACGGGGAACATTTACAGATTTGCTTTTTAAGCCGTAATTTTGAGTGTTGTTCCACACGGTGAAAATCTTCAAATGATTTCTATCATTCGTTTCACTGCGTCCTCTCCTCTGTAATCAGCACACCTGTAGCTGCAGCTGTAACAGGAGATGTAACAGGTTCATCACAGTAAGCAGCACATTGTGTCAGTGCTCTGCTGGATCTGACGGTAAAAATGATAAAAGGAACTGTGAGAAGCAGAGAGAAAACAAAACGGGATCCAAGCTCTGAAACCCGACATGAAAGACAAACGTTTTAACATCCTCTTGATATCCAGCCAGCGAGCAGCGAATCGTCGGCTTTCTGGACTGTTTTTTACTTCCTTTCATGGTTTCTCTGCGGGGAGTAGTGTGTGTGTGGAAACTGATAGCTGGAGCTAATCCTGGAAAGAACAACAGATTGGCACACATGTAGAGGAGCAGCAGTACAGCTTGTTCACAAGAGTGATGTAATCTCATAAACTGCCTGGAAGTTCACAGATAGGTTTGAATATTGTGCACTGAGTTAGGCAAGGAAACTTTATTTATGGAGAAGATTTTATGCACAAAGGAAACTCAATGTGATCACACAGGAAAGACTTCACAAATAATACAATACAGATAAAACAGGAGTACGTCAAAAGAGACTTAAAAAACGATTAGATTACATAATAATTATTTGTGAAGTGCAGTGATATCAAAATAAAGAGTAAGCTTAAAGGCTCATCCAAAGGCACATGATGACATCTCATCTCTGATGGCGGCCCGCTCCAGTTCCACACAGCGGAGAGACTAAATGCTGCTTCACCATGTTTAGTGAGGAGGACTCTGGACTGAACCAGGTCACCAGAGTCAGTAGATCGGAGGTTTCCGCTTGGTTGATACATTTTGAACATGTCAGAAATGTCATGTGGAGGTCATGTGCTCCATGTTTCTGGTCCTGGAGTGAATTCTAGCTGAGCTGCAGCTGTTTAATCGACTTTTTAGGAAGTCCAGTCAGAAGACCTTTACAGTAGTCAACCTTTGACCCCGTGTCCACTTAATGTTTCTTCCGGGCAGAAAATAACTTGTACCGACACTGTTCCGTTACTTTTTACTGCATGTTTTATATACATGATCTTTTATTTCCCGATCAGACGCGCAGTGGGGAGGATGTGGGTACAGGACACGATTTCTCTGAAGAAAACATCTGCCGAACTGTATTGGGTAGAGACAAACAGAGCAACAACAATGAATAAGATAGATTAAAAGCTACAACGTTGGTAATAATGGTCAAAGTATGATGTGTCGTGTTAAGCCCGGCTCACACTGCAGGATAATCGGGCCGATTTGAGCTCCGATTCTTCCTTCCCGGCGATCGCAGGGTCGCTACCGACTCAAGGCTGCTCGGAACCGATTCTCTGCTCAGATTATTTTGTAGTGTGAGCGGAACAAAGTTACAATCTTAACGTCCCCGATCTGCCCTGCGATCGTCGTGGACGCCCCGATTTATTTCAAACATGTTTGATATTTAGAATTTAAAATCTTAACGATTACGTCATGAAAAGGTCCGGCAGAAGTTGCGTGTTACTGTAGTCATGGCGACCAGTGGCAGGACGCAAACCGGCGTTTTATTTTTGTGAGTTTTCGGTAAGCAGATCATTAGTGCAGCACTTTTCTGAAACTTTTATCAATATATCTACGATTGTTTTTAAATTTCCTGTATCCCACAACAACTTCCACTTCCTTCTGTTTCACCAGCCCGCCGTCCGTTGGAGTATTCAAATGAAACTTTATTAACAATTGTCAATGCTCCGTCCCGATTTCACTCGTACAGTGTGAGCTCTCCGGCTGTAGCGGACAATCGGGTCGTACAGTGTGAGCACGTACGTCGCAAGGTCTGGTCGGGCGTCGTAAAGGAGTCAGTTGTACAGTGTGAGCGGACATACCACCCCGACTTCTATACAATCGGGGGGAAATCGCACAGTGTGAGCCAGGCTTAAGCAGATATAAACATGATGAAACAGGGAGGGCTGATTGTCTTCATTATAGGAGCTTAGATTCATTTTAATTCTTTAATAATAACGATAACAGACGTAACGCTGAGTCATCTGTTCTGTTTTTAATATGTTGCAGGTGATCTTCCTTCATGGACTGGGAGACACAGGGTGAGTTATGTTTACTTCATATATTAAAAAAGAAACAAATATTCTTCAGAGAAATCCTCTTTTTATATTGTCTTTTATTACCTGGAATACAATATTAGCGGGTTAAAGTGACACACAGGATGTGTTAGAGGAAGACCCTTGTGACAGTAAACATGTTTTTCTTCGTGATTAATCTGTAATTAAATTCTCAGTAATTCACGATATCTCTATTAAAGATCCCCACAGGCATGTTTTAAAGGTCACATATTCTCCTCCTCTTCCAAAAAGTTTAAATAAGTCTCAGAGCTCCTCAAAACATGTCTGTGAAGTTTCTTGTTCTAAATCCACTCTGATCTTGTATTTGATCATGTCTATAAACCCCTCTATTTCAGGCTGTTTCCGTGTCTGTACCTTTAAATATGTAAATGAGCTGTGTCTGACCACGCCCCCTCTCTGGAAGGGCTTCAGTGTCTCGGGCTTTCTCGCTCCATGTGCTATTGTTTACGTTGAGAAGGCAGACTCAGAGGGCAGAACAAACACCTAGCTGTGGGCGTGTCACCCACCTTGGGGAGGAGTTACTGCCCTTTTGTGATGTCATGAAGGGAAAATCTGCAAACAGCCTTTTTGAGCACACATTTTCTGAAGAGTGGAGCTGGCAAAAGACAGAGAGGATGGACTTTTCTTATAACTGGGGGATTTGTAGACAGACTAGGGACACATGTTAGAGAAACATGGTGAAGTGTTTTTTTGCATATGTCACCTTTAAATCTGAATTATTTCAATGCACGTTTCACAGTGTTGTCATTTAGTAGACACTGAAAGGTTTTACTTGTTTAGGTTGGGAATCCAAACCTCCAGAATTTTCATGTCTAGCCTTCGTCTTCTTACCAGGTTTCTGTTGTTCTCACTGCGTCAGATACTTGGAAGTGGTTAAATGTTGGCTCCACTTTTACAAAGTTAAATTTCATAAAACTCGACGAACATCATGAAGAACTTGTTCAAAAAGCTCTCACCTCAGCACACTCACTTCCACTAAAACTGCGTCGTCTGTCTTTATCCCCTGCGAAGATGTTAACGTGTTGAAGTGACTTTCATTCAAAGATCACATAACGATCTACAGACATTTGACTTCACTGTACGGGTTTGATGTAAAGATGTTGGTTAGTTGAAGCTGGAATCAAAGACGTCCTTTCTGGTTTTTTTCCTCCTCTCAGGCATGGATGGGCGGAAACTCTGATGGAGATTCAGCCGTCTCATGTCAAGTTCATCTGCCCCCACGCGTAAGTCTTTGTCTTCTCGAGGCTCCCAACTAGTATTCATTGATACGTTTGTGAAGAGTGAAGCACAGGCGTATACCTCAATCAGAGGAAAGACTCATTTCTGTGATTAAAATTCTACATTAACAATCAAACAAAATAAGAACGATGATTTGATTTTATTCTCAAATGATTTCCTTTTTGAGTTTAAGATCTTTGTTTTTGATTCTTTCCTGCAGGCCCTCAATCCCCGTTACTCTCAACATGAAGGCGATGATGCCCGCTTGGTGAGTTGGCGTGATGTACAAAACAGCCTCTAAGCTCAACAGTGGGTGCCATTGTTCCCGTGGAAACCACAATAGGGCCCCCATACTGGCACTGACAATACCGTGATTGTATCTATTGATCTGTTGAAACACTGGCCTCTGCGTGTGTGCGTGTGCGTGTGTGTGTGTGTGTGTGTGTGTGTGCAGGTTTGACCTCATGGGCCTCAAACCCGACATCCCAGAGGACGAGTCTGGAATCAAGAGGGCAGCGGACAACAGTGAGTCCCCTCCAAGACCCCCACCCCACCCCGGCAGAGAATACAACAACATTACGATGTGTTTAAATAGTTCAAAGCACAGGGTTATTATTCCCCTTTAATCTAATACAGGCTCCATTCATTCTTTATTTTATATATTATTCTCATTAACGCCTAAATGGAACCTCCATGGCTACAGAGCCCTTTGAATTACTATCATCAGCCTGTGGTTGTTGCATTTTCTGTCCACTAGAGGGCGACCTATCATTACAAATACACATCTGGAAACACTCCCAGCTGCTACTGTAGCTTCCTGCTCTGTTTAGCAATAATTAAGCTGATGAAAAGAGAGAACAACATTCTCATCCAGCAGTAATTTGAGCTTTGATTGATGATATTTGATTCAACTCTTTAAATAAGTTCTAACACACACAGAGAGAGAGAGAGAGAGAGAGAGAGAGACGCAGCTTTATCTAACTTTAGATGCACGTGACATGACGACACAATGACTAAAAAAAGCATTAAAACTATTCAGATAATTTATAAATGTAGCAGCAAATCTTCACATCTGCCCCACATCTCCTCTTCTCAACATTCAGGGTGTTCAGTGTGCATTAAACTCGTCTCACTGACATGTTTGAGTAACTTCTTTGTGCTTCTTTTCCATTCAGTCAAGGCGATAATCGAACATGAGGCCAAAAATGGGATTCCCCCGCACCGCATCATTCTCGGTGGCTTCTCTCAGGTGAGGACTTGATGTGTTGTTTCGCACAAAAGAAAACACTGGATCACAGTTAGAGATGAGCCCAATTAGCCGGCTTAAAGAGTTAACACCATCACCCCTCGCTCGTCAGCACCAGGATTACAAGTCGCCTAAACTAATTATTAATATTTGTATGAATTCAAGCCAACAATGTTGGTAACATTCTTTTTCTAAACTGTGACGCAGCGACCCGCCACAAGCCGGGGCTGCAGCAGCTTCAGTAAAGAACCACTACCTTATTACTCTATGAACCAGATGTAGACAACGGACAGCGTCTCGTAGGAGCAACTTGGCAGAGTTTGATCGAGAAAAGGTTAAGTTGTATGAAGGATGTGTCAGGTTGAAGTGATGCATAACCACTCGACCGAAGCAATGCATCACCGCATGTAAGCTGCAAGGAGGACTGCAGGCTGGTGGTGCTAGCTCTGCTAACGTTGGCCACACTCGACGAACCAATCAGACATCGTTTCCCCACTGATGCTGGGATACCTCATTTAGACTGTTTTCTAAAAGTGTTTTCTCGACTTTAGACTTTCCTACCTGTCAGAACAGTCTCTTGGAACATCGATAATCACAATAAATGAAGACATTTAAACAAGTAATGAACTTTCTCTCTGTCTTCTCAGGGTGGGGCTTTGTCCTTGTATACCGCCTTGACCTGTCAGCATCAGTTGGCTGGTGTTGTGGCCCTCAGCTGCTGGTTACCACTTCACAGGAGTTTCCCATCGGTAAGGTCACACTGGAAGAGAAGTCACATAGCTTCCACCCGTCACACAGTAAATGAATGCAGAACATTTAAACCAGAGTGCTGCTGTCTTCCTCTGAAAACCACACTTTTACATTTAACCATCTCACTTTCAGGTGTTGTTCTAATGAAGTCTGTGTTGTGTTTGTACCTGCAGGCGTCAAGCGGCAACAAGAACATCCCGATCCTGCAGTGCCACGGCGAGAATGACTGCATGATCCCGCCGCACTTTGGTGTCATGACACACGAGAAACTCAGATTGATAGTCAACCCCGATCTGGTCAACTTCAAAACGTATCCAGACCTCTCTCACAGCTCCTGTCCTCAGGTACTGCACCGCCGACTGTGTGTTATGTTATGTTGTGTAATCAATCAAATTCAAACTTATTTAAAAACTTTAACGATTGCAAAGTTGTGTCCCCCCCCCCCCCCCCCAGCGTGTGCACTTAAATGTGTCCTTTAATAAACCACATACGGCCATTTGGATGAAGATTCTTGTCTTTCTCAGTCTATGACATCACTCATTTTTCTCTCGTTTTCTCCCTTGCAGGAGATGGTGGCTGTACGGGAATTTATCGACAAGTATTTGCCCCGAATCTGACCTCACCTCATCTCATCCCATCCCCCACTGTGACCCTCTGAGACACTGACCTCTCACCCCTGATCTGCCGCTCTCCCACAGGAAACAGCCATGAGCACCCCAACAACCCCATCTTCTACACACGTCGACAACACACACACACACACACACACACACACACACACACACACACACACACACACACACACATAATCAAGATAATTTGATCCACACCGCTTTAACCTGCAGATTCGATCAAACAAACACACAGATCTGATTTTAAAATAAACATACCCAAGTGCTCGCACTCACAAGTCTTAGCCTCTCAGAGGGAGAGACGCTGACTCACACAAACAACATTCCCTTTGCTTTGAGTTTACTTCTGTGTGTCACCTCTCCACTTGTTCCCAATGTTGCTTCCCTTTCTTTGAGCCGTTTTACTCTCCATTACTTTGTTTCCCTTTTTTCATTGCTCTGTCATAAGCGAGAGATTTTGGTGGAAACCGAAGAGTAAAATTGAGTCGATTAGGGATGCACCAATCTGGCTTTTTCTTTTTTTTTTTTTTACTCTCTTAATTGATTCCTCTGGATTTGGGTATCAACAAATTCAAAATGTACTCCTTACATTATGACTATTAAATGGGGGAAGTTGGTTAGTCAGTGGGTTTTGTTGTATTTAGCAGTGTGAGGCCGTTATTCAGAGAGGATAGGTATTGATCATGTTGGCAGTGTGAGCATTAAAAACCTCCAAACAAATGACACTTTTGGCTTTCTTCTTCCTTTAACCAAAATGGACAATATTAAAGCAGCATGATACACGATGATTATGTCCTTAACATGGAGTAGATACCCCCATGTTAGACTCAATTTACACAATACCCAATTGAAGTAGGTATGGGACAGATTGTGCATCCCTACTATCACTGCAGTCAGACTGGATCTCACTTCATGTCCGTCAGGGCAGGAATTATTTGCTTATTTGGCTCAAATTGACCGACTTCCTTTAGTTTGCACGGATTGAAATGTGATTGATAAAATCCTGAGACTCTCCGGAGTGCAGACACTTACAGAAAAATGCTGAAATTGATCATTCTGGAAATATTGGATTTTTTTAGTGTCTGAGGCGACCGACAGTAACGTTGTGTAATGTTTTGATAAAAGGCTGCGTCATTTACAACTTGACAAAGGGCATCCTGGGAGCTAAGCTACATCCTGCAGTTTATATATCCATTTAAGCCGAAGCAATTTCCTGTCTCCTGCATCATCCGATTTCTCTGGGTGAAATTCAGTCCGACTGTGACTCCACTCAGAGCCGGCCTCTCTTGTAGTGAGTGCTGGTTTCTCACCAAACTCTTCCACCTCGCTGTAACATCCCCCTGCAGGGGCCATGCATCAGCAGCTTAACCTTTGAACGTCCCCTTTTTTTTTTTTCTAACAAACAAAAAGGAGGCCCTACATTACTGTTTAACTTCAAGTGTGATGAAGCATCTTGGAAAATATGAAATTAAATCCAATTGAAATAAAAGAAAACTAACCAATTGATCTTCTTGCCCCCCTGTGCTGTTTATTTCCAACCTCCAGCTGCATGTGAGCTGTCTGTTTTGGCTTTGTGTCATTCGTTTTGCAGAGTTACCTCTTGTGATTTTCTTCATTTTAAAACATCTAGAGTTTGACCCAACATGGGGGATGACTTTAACAGCGTGAGTCGCATGATCTAAGACCGCACACCATGAGTCGTTTCACTGTTTCCCCCGCTGACTTTTCCTCTTTAAAGCATTTATCTTTTTACCATTCAAGTGCATCAGCCATACCTTAAACCCATTTTTTTAATCACTTTACCGACAATTTCAACTGTAGGGAAAATAATTCTTCCTCTGTATGTCTTTCCTCTACACTAGTACCCATTCATCCCCGAAAAAATCTATTAAAAAAACCCCTCTATTAGAAACAGAAAAGGTCAGATTTTAAAGTGAAAGCCGACATGATTATAATTCACCTCTTTAGAACAACAGAGGGCCTTAACGAGAAGCTGTTCCAACATGACCGAAGGGTGATTTTATTAGAAGTAAAAAATAAAACCTCGTTGATTGAACAACTCTTCAGCGGAGGAGTGTAACTCTGAGGAGTCGTGTGCTTAAAAATCTCTCTATATCAGGTGTATTAACTTTTTCTTTCTTGTGGATGTTAATTTTTGCTCTCCTCATTATGACCTGTTCTATATTCATGTTTAAAAGTTAACGTGGAAAAGGAGGAAAGACATCTGCTTTGATTGTTAATCACTAATCAAGGAATGTCTCTCTCATCTCCTCGAGTGCTTTCAAAACTGCTTCCTTTGATTTTGATTCTTCTTTTGTTTCTTCATTAGTCCATCATTTCCCCCCAATGTGACATGTCTCCTGTTCTCTTCTGTGTTGTCACTTTCTACACGTGTTTTTGTTTATTGGACTTACCGTATGTTTTGTTGTGTGTTGTCATCTCAGCCTCTTCTTGTGTCTGTTTTTAATCATGAGTTACATAACGTAACATGATGAGGGGAGACTTGAGGTCTCTCCAATTTTTTTTTGTTTGTTTCCAAAACACCTGTATGCAGAATAAATGACCCAAAAAAACACCTGAGTTCAGCGTCTTTTTTTATCACCCCATACTTCACGACAAAATCTAAATAAACATGTAAACAACATCTAATATAGAGTAGAAATTACCAGTTTATTCTAAGAGAGATGAAGGCAAAAGAAGACGATATATAGCCTATTTTATTGATCCAAAGAGGGTCCCCATTTACTAGTGAAACTGTATTTTTCTTTAGGGAAATTAAGTCAATCAGTCTGTTTTTCCATGGCTGAACAGGTGTAAAGGTCTTTTAAACAGTGTCTGACTCTTTGCATCTCAGTGCTTATCCAGGCTGTTGCATTAAAGTGTTTAGCCTGAAGTGAGCACAGAGTAAGTATCCTTTTTTTTTGTCTCGGAAAATCTCAGGTTAGCTAGAAAGAGTCCAAGGAGAAATGCCTGAAGGCCGACAGGCAGCCTAACACAGATTCTATCAGATGTAGTTTGTTTGACCTTTTCTCAAATTAGCTCCAGCTAAATTATAAAAGAAACTGGACATGTTAAGATAATTTATTTTATTATTTTTATAATTGTTATTATGGTTTCTTCTCCATGGTTTCTTTTTTATTATTATTTTTTTTTAAATTAAAAGAAAATTAAAATCATATTTTTTGTACATTCTTAATTTTTTTTTTTTTTTTTTATTTAAATTAAAATTGTACTGTGTTCACTTTCTGTTTGCAATCTTTGCTGCTCTAACACTGTAAATTTCCCCGTTGTGGGATAAATAAAGGATTATCTTATCTTATCTTAGTAATAGGTATTCTGGCCCACACTCCAGCACAGTAGGTGGCGGTAATGCACCTTAAATGTTAGTTGCCACCCCGCCATTACCATTAAACACAAAGAAGTCATCGTAGTTTTTCCGGCTCCTGAAATTCTGACTGTGAAACCCCTGAGACTCCTCCTTGTCGCGCAAACGGACCAATGAGCGGCGCAGGCGTCTTTCGCTCTGCTCGATAAAGAAAAGACCTCTTCCCTCAACGGTTAGTCGCCATTTTGTCGTCTGGAAACGTCGGTAGTAGAACCTTTTTGTAGCGAAGAAGAAATCCCTCACAACGCTTTTTAAAAGAAAAACAAATATATTTTTTAATTTTAATCTTACATAATGTCTCGATTTAACAACAATCGCGGCGGCCTCGGGATGAACCAGTTCCAGCAACGCAGAGGCGGCGGTGGACCCGGCGGGCCGATGAGGGGCGGGTTAATGGGAAACCCTCATTTCAGGAACCATCCTTTCCAGAATCAGAATCAAAACCGAAGAGGGCACAATAATAATAACAATAACATGAACAGGCAGGGTCCACAGATGACTCCCCAGAAGCCGATTATTCCTCCGCCGAGTCCCGGACCGGCTCTCACCATGAAAGGCCCGATGCAGCAGCAGCAGCAGAAACCTGCACAGCCAGCTCCGGAGCAGAAACAAACCCCGACACCTCCTGCTCCCACTCCTCCTCAGGGGAAGGTCGAGACACCCAAACCGGAGATGCAGTCACCTCCACCGAAAGCAGCCATCGCGTCCCCTCCACCCACGCAGGAAAACAAGATCCAGAACGCCAACCAAGACCAGCTGAAGTCGCCGGCGGCAGCAAACGCGAACGGTCAGCAGAAGCAGCCTCCACAAGCGAGCCCAAAGCCCGGGCCTCCGCAGCAGCAGCAGCAGGGCCAGAGGAGCGGGGGGCCTCCACAGGGCCAGAGACCACAGCAGAGCCCGAGGGGGGGACCACACCAGGGTCAGAGAGGAGGAGGAGGAGGACACAATCAAGGCCAGAGGACGGGACCACACCAAGGCCAGAGAACGGGACCACACCAAGGCCAGAGGATGGGACCACACCAAGGCCAGAGGACGGGGCCGTCGCCAATGAGGTCCAGACAGGAGCAGGAGAGAAAGCCCAACAACGATTCGACAGATGGTGACGACGGCCAGTCGAGTGTACGTGTTGTTGTTGTTGTTGTTTTTTGGCAACTTTAACCATTAATTCAGTCGACAAACTTTCATCGTTATCCAACGCTACCTCGCTTAGTTTTACTGATGTGATCGATCGTTACTACAGCGCAGCCCGTGCGGGCGGAGTCTAACTGCGTTCACTGTGTTCACTGTGTAAGAGAGCGCTGGGGGGGACCGAGGGGTAAAACAAACGCACCCTTGTTTAGTCGCTGAAGCAAACCGCCATCTTGTTAAACGACAAAACCGTCAAAATATTTGAATTTAACGATTCAAATGAGAAGGTCGCTTTAATTTATTTTTGTTTTTTTTTTTTTAAATCAGGGCGAATGTCGTTTTCGCGTTTAACTTCAAATTGTCTCGTTTGTAGGTCAAATTGAATTTCTTTTGAGTAACCATCGTGTGTGGGGGATGGGTGGGAGGTCGGTACACAAAGGCGACTGTTTTGATTAGAAATTGTAAATAAAAATCTCTTATTTATATAATAATAATGCCTTTTATGTATATATCACATCAAAACAGAGGTTTACAACGTGCTTTAAAAGACAAAGCAAATAAACTAAAATTTACAAATGTGTAAAAGCAAAGCAAGGAGAAAATAAAGTATAGACAACAGGTATGTGTCACTGTCGAGTAATGGCAATTAATCTGTAATAATGTTAAATATAAAGACTATATGAGGATTAAAAGAAGAGAAGATGACATCACAGCACAGAAAAAACCAGTTGTATGAAGGAAAACACAAATGATTAGTAAGTAAAAGCAACATAGGAAGGTTAATAATACTTTATAAATATATATATTTGTTTTTACACTCTGTCTAGTACACAAACATGAGCCGAAATACACACGCATGCACAAACAGGATCCTATGGACATGCACTTGTGGAGAGAAAATGAAGGGCCAGAAGTAGATAAAATGAATAAAGGAAAAGTGAATATTGAAGCTGTCTGTAAAGTGAGTTGGTCAATATACACTTTTAAAACAACAACAAAATGACTGAGCTTTAATTTTGTTATCATCCAATAACAGGAGTTCAAGGCAACACTGTCCATGCTGCTGAAGCCCGGTGAGAAGACGTACACCCAGCGTTGTCGTCTGTTTATCGGAAACCTGCCCAACGACCTCTCGGAGGAAGATTTCAAGAAGCTGTTTGCAAAATATGGAGAGCCAAGCGAGGTCTTCATCAACAAAAGCAAAGGCTTTGGTTTCATCCGACTGGTAAGATATACCATCCTTGAATTATCGTTGATGTTAGATTGGTGCTTATGTATGTTACTGAGCACATATGTATGTTATTACTCGTTTCTTCTAGTGTTTGGATGAAGCCAAGAATCATTTGTTGGTTATTTTGGGATTTAGCATTACAATCATGAGAAGATGATTATTTTAGTAAGATATCCTTAAAACAAGGTTGTTTGTTTTGCAGGAGTCCCGTGCACTTGCAGAGATAGCAAAAGCTGAGTTGGATGATACACCCATGAAGGGTAGACCCCTGCGTGTCAGATTTGCCACACACTCTGCAGCTTTGTCCGTGAAGAATCTGTCACCATTTGTTTCCAACGAGCTCCTGGAAGAAGCTTTCTCGCAGTTTGGAATGGTCGAGAGGGCCATTGTCATTGTTGACGACCGTGGGCGCTCTACAGGCAAGGGCATTGTCGAGTTCGCCTCCAAACCTGCAGCCAGAAAGGCTTTGGACAGATGCAATGAGGGCGTCTTCCTTCTCACCACGTAAGTGCAGTGGATGTTGAAATGGTTCACCCTTTAATTGTCTTCAGTGAGATATGCCCCAATAAAAACTTGTAATCCTTGCTTGTGTCTTACCTGCTGTTTGATTCATATTCCTCAGGTCTCCCCGTCCAGTTGTTGTGGAACCCCTGGAGCAGTTTGATGATGAAGATGGTCTCCCAGAGAAATTGGCACAGAAGAACCCCAGATATCAAGCGTAAGCACTTTTGTTAAGCTTTACAAATGATTTGCTGAATTAAAACTATTTTGGATTTGATAAGAGTACTTATGACTGTGTAAAGCAGGCGTCTTTATCATGCAAATTAGTGCCTCAAGTCATTGTTTGTAATCAGCAGATGGTAGGATGTGAAGGTGCGGGGGGTTTGCTTCAGGCTTGGCAGCTGTGACGAGTGGCAGATGTTAACCAATCTGTATGAATCAATCAAAAATCATTATTATATTTGTGTTTCTACAGAGAGCGTGAGGAACCTCCTCGTTTCGCTCGTCCTGGAACCTTTGAATTTGAGTACTCCAAGCGCTGGAAGTCCCTGGATGAAATGGAGAAGCAGCAGAGGCAGCAGGTGGAGAAGAACATGCGTGAGGCCCGTGAGAAGCTGGAGAGCGAGATGGAGGACGCTTTTCATGAGCACCAGGCCAACCTGCTCCGTCAAGGTAAGTTTAGTCTTAAAACACCATTAACAGGACCGGCTACCAGCTTCAGCTTTTAGTCACTAGAACAGATGTCATACAGTCAGAGCTGTGGTTAGTAAGTGCCACAGTTAAATGTGTTTGTTTTATGCTTCCTTTCAGATCTGCTGAGGCGACAGGAGGAACTGAGACGCATGGAAGAGCTGCACAGCCAGGAGATGCAAAAGAGGAAGGAAATGCAGATCAGGTATTTATCTTCAGTGGATTCTATTCTATGTTTCTGTGGATGCACTACATCCTGAATCTATACTAATTGTCTGTTCTAAAAAGAGAGTAGATTTATACAAAATGGTGAAGTCAGTAATGAACATTTCTGATTGTCGTCAGGCAAGAAGAAGAGCGTCGCAGGCGGGAGGAGGAGATGCTTCGCAAAAGAGAGGTGGAAGAACAGATGAGACGTCAGCGTGAGGAGAAATTCAGGATGGGCAACTTCATGGATGTGAGTTAAACCATAAATAAGAATACACAACTCTGAATCATATGTAGTGGTTTATTTTATCACGATGAAGCTGATTTAATGGCTATTTTGTTTTCTTTGTTGTTACAGAGGGACAGGGAAATGAGGATGAATGCCGGTGGCATGGGAGGTGAGTTATTTTTAGTTTGGTTAACCTGTCTGTAAAGATGGGAAGCCGTCAGTGGGCTTCACTCCTCATTTGTTGGTTTCTATTGTGCTGAAAGCAGCATAAACATACCGTTAATCAGTCCATATACCACTAGTTTGGAGTCCTGTACTAATAATCTTGGCCATCAACAGGCAGCATGTGAAATTTAAGTTTTTTTTAATGCAGTCTATTCATTGCCTTGGACATGTTTCTGTCAGATATGCCCTTCGGTGCAGCCAACCCGAACTTCCCCATGGGTGGACTGGGACAGCAAGGAATGGGAGCATCTCCAGGAGGCCTGATGGGCAACGAAATGGTAATGTATCCCTCTTTTAGGGAGATCAGTAGGTTTTTAAAGAAAGTTTGTTTGCCTGTTCTCCTTTATTGGAGAGACTCCCAGCTGTTGGTAAACACAAAGGCCAGCTGGCCGAGCAGGATGGGAGGACCTGGATGCTCTGTGCTCCCAGCTGTCTGGATCGCTGTTTGTTGAAAGTGACAGTTTTGCTGCCTACGGGAGAGGGAGTTTTTTTTCAATGGCCGGCCAAGCCCCATCAGTTACTGTCTTATGAGTTATAAAGCCTTTTCAGCTATAAAGCCGTCAACTTGCACTAAAACAAAAGACATTGCTCTCCAGCTCTGTATTCAGGCATCAGTGCACTCTTATTACACCTTTGCGTGGTTGACTGCTTTTGCAAGACCTGTCTGATGTGAGCTTGACAGGCACTTTTTCTTGACCTGCTGCAGAATGGCAACAACCATTTTATTCTCTTAAACTGTTGACACTGTGCTTTAAACTTTTGAACCGCCTTCTCTTACTGTACTAGGAGTTACCTGTATCACACGTCATATGAGCTAATTAGCTTGTATATGAAATTGTCTTTTTTGGGTGGCAATATGAAGTCCATTTCAAAGCTTATTTTGTGCTACAAGCCAATATACCAGAAGTAGGGCTGTAGTTCATCTTTTGTACCAGCAAACTTTCCCTTCTCATCAGCATCTCCTGGGTAATTAAGCATTTGTAAGGATTTTTAGTGCAGGCTGACGGTATAATAGGAACAACTGTTTAAACAATTTGAATTTAAAGATTATGATGGCATGGTTAATTGATGGGGCAGGCAAAGACTTGTGGCTAATTCTGTCAAGGGTGGTATCGTGAATACTGGACATTGCCTGAGCTTGGCTTCAAGAAAACCTGTAGCAACAATGCTAAGGTTACTTCTGGATGGCCGTTATAAATAAACACAGTCAACCTGTGTGAACATTTTAGGTCATGAAAGGAACACGTTTCTGCAACTTTTTTTAATCAAGCTTTTAATAAATAGTTTATTTTTGCTGTGCAACATGTGCATTGGAAAAGAAGCGCACTTAAAATTTCAAAAATTGAATATTGGTTGCTGATGCTTATTAAAGCACGGCTTGAATATTATTTAAAGCAACCCACATCATGTATGCTTTAAAAAATGGTTTTCCAAGTAGTAGTTCAAGTAGAACTCATCAAAAGTCTTTGGTAAATAGTCCGCTGAGCAGTTTGCAGTTGGGTGGATCCAATTCAAGATATTTACTCATTATACTTATTTACTCATATTCTGCCTATTTAAGTCATTTTCTAACTACGACTGTGCATTAGCCCCTTGTTGTCGCAGAAGTCTTTGCCATTTGATTGGGTTTTGACTTTGAGACACTGTTTCTCACAGCCCTTGTCTACATCGGCATTTAACCTGCATATTTATGTGAAATTGCTTACTTGTTGGAAAAGTTGTTGTGCTCAATGTATACACAAGTACAGATATTCTTAGGTACAGCAATGGTCTTAGTAGTAACATAGTACCCCTATACGTCCGATTCTGTTGACATTTTTAAATGTAAACATTTATCATTGTGTTGCCATCAGGACTATTGATAAACTATAATCTATATCAGTTGTCTCAAGATCTGACTGAAGTCTGTCAGAATTTCTTAAATTGCCAATCAACTTTTAACATTGAACATCGGTTCAGGGTTAGTGAAACGTAAATGCATAGTTGAAAAGACTCCAACAAATGGCCTTTCTTATGTATTATTATTATTATTATTATTATTATAATAATATTATCCATTTGAAAAATACCGTTTCTGTTGAACACCACCACCAAGTGGTTTGCATACAGTTATCCACTCTCATATTAAATGGTCATGAATAGGGCTGTCCCCTGTCAGTCTCATTTTGGAATTGTCAATCGGAAATATAAACCCAATCCTACTACCAGGAGATTAAAAAAAATATTAGAAATGACACTTATAGAAGTGGTGAGCTGAACTAATCTGATTTGTGTGTTGGTATCCAGCTTGTATTTATTTCTAGAGGATTCCTTCACTGTTCACTGGTACCAAATGGCAATGTAATCGCTTGTCATGGTATATAAGTTAAGTGTACATTGAGTAACTTGAAACCCCAAAATGTATTCAGCTGGACATGTTTTAATGTCAGCTAATGGCCAGTGCTACAGCTGTGAGTAATAATAAAATTAAAAACATGACTCGTGTAGATTTACATAGGAGCTAGTGTGCATTGAACTGAAAAATAAATGCTTGTTTTGGGCAGCCAGTTCAAATTTGATTGACTAAATTCCTATTGGGGCACAGCCCTAGTCATGAAGAGATTAGTATATGGTCAGCATTTAAAAAAAATGCTAGACCAAGTGAGTAGTATCGACAATAGGCTAGTCTTGGCATGCACAGGAGAGACCATACTAGGTAGGCACTGACTAACGAAAGCATTACCCTCTCTTCCTTTTCCGTATGTAACCTGTGGCACCTGTGGATCTTCATATTGGATCGAACCGTTTCTTCGGATGTGTCTCCTGCTGGTTGTGTTTTAAATCTGCTCATAATATAAAACGAATCACCTCTTATTACCGCACCTTTTGACACACTTCCAAATGGACATGAACTGTGTGCTTGTGCACTGAACACAACCCATTCCTTGTATTCCAACTTCGTATCTGCCTCCCTCACAATATTGATCCCAACAGCGCAATGAGCGCTTTGCCCAAGGGGGTCCCAGGGGAATGGGTCCTGGTAATGCCGGGTATGGCGAGTCCGCGAGGAGTTTGATGGTCCCGCTAAAAAACCACGCTTTTAAACGCTTCCCTTTGATGCGCCCTGCAGGAGCATTTGTACAGATTCTTTAAAACAATGCTTTTCTTGTATTTAAGTTTAAATTGTTGCATTTTAGCCTGCTTTTTTCACAAAGTCAATATTTTCATTTTTATTTTGTATTGTCAGTAGTAGTAGTAAGGAAAGATCGGTCACCCTGGTGTGATCTCATACATCTTTCTGACCCCTGTAAAATTTTCTTTTCTAGATGTATAATGCTCTGTGAGTCTCCGTGAAGTGATAATTGTAAATTTTTTCTCTACTCTATGGCTGTGTTTTGTGCCATACCTTTGGAGTCTAAGCATGTATTACAATAAAGAGACGTTGGTTCTATCAGGACAAACCTTTATAATTTATTCCCAAAACTATTAACACAGTGTATAAAAAGAAACCAAATCCCAACAATTGGATCACTTGCAAAAAACTAAAATAATAATTGTTGATATAGCTGTCACATTAGTTCATAAAGGGGTCTATGTGTTATCCTTGCTTCAGTCCTGATGTTGCTCATTAAGAGATGTGAAACATCCTATCTTAAAACACAAGGCTTCACGTGTTGGCTCCCTCAAAAAGCTTTCCACCTCTTTGCTCAGCAACTAGCTGGTACAGATCACAGGAAAATGTAATTACTTTTCCAGAGTTGATCAATTTTTATAAAGTAAACAAGAGGTGGCATAGGCAGTGATGTGACACTGTTCAGACATTTCTAGTTAAGAAACAAGTCTGTTTATCAAATGTGCTGTTGAATCATAAGTGCTGAGTCCAAGACTTGATTTTTGCTACTGCAGTTTCACTCTTCAAACACGGTTCAGAGTGGGATTATTCAACTTGCAGCATTTTATTTTTGAGAGGGTGCACTTGCTTGCAATGGTTATTGTATTTGAATAACTTTACTGTTACAGAAATGCTTCAGTAAAGCGGAGGTATGACACATAGAACCTTTTAAGAAAGCCTGTGATGGTACGTTTGTGCGGGGGAGTGAATGTCCTTTAAAAGGAACAATTCTGATCAGGTTCTCGGTCTCCCAGTGACCAGCAGATCTTTTTAGTGAATGTTGTGTGGTGATGAGGCTGGGGTTGTTGACTACATTGAAATGCTGTCTAACTATACTAATAACATGCATTTTGATATCTGGCTTCCTGCTCACAAGTGCCATTGAAGTATTTGCAAAGTTGTTGAGCATATCAAGGAACAGCCTATTAGAAGAAATGTAGCAAATACTTATGTAGACAGCTGAAGTTCGTGTAATGGCCCCTAGAGGGTTGCTTCCAAAGTAAGTCAATCCCCACAAAGACCTATGTAAACATTTTCTGACTTCACAACAACACATTCTACAACATGGGTTTTAACTCTTTATTTCCCCTTTCATGACAGCTGTACTTGGACTGAGTTTTGTGCAACTCATCAATTGAAAAGAAACGAATAGCTTTGTGTAATTAGGAATGGGTTTGGTATAATATTGGGCATCGCCTTTACTTTTCTGACTCACTGAACTTAACTTGCTTGATATCCACCAGTTTGGAAATGATGGCTTTGCCAATTTATATTTATCATCATGGCCATAATTTGACAAAGTAAAGGCTTCAAAACATTGGTTCACAAAACACCTTGTGATGTCATGTTTGCTACATCCATGTCTTAGTCCACAAGATGGACAAAAAAGCCTGAATTAGCAGTCTATGGTTGTGTTGCCATCTTATTGGTAGTTGTAATTGTATGTGGATGTATTGAGCTTAATGCATTCCTCAGCAAACAAAGTTATGGACCTCCTCATTAGTTAATTAATCAGCACATTACTTCCACTGGACAACATCTACCCATTGAAGCCATTAAATAATATCCAGCAAAGTTAAAGAATGGCTAATAACCTGAGTAGTCTTAGTAGCTACAGTAGTGACATGTTCACAACATGTTTAGCCTGTTTCCAGTAAAGCCTTTTAAAGACTCACTTAGCAAGTAATTAAGATGCACATATGTTCAGTCAGTCTAGTGTTAGAGTTTCCCCAGTTGCCCAATCCTCCAATTGCATCCTAATTACTTGGTACATTTCTCCTAAAATTATTAACGACTTTTCCTTTGAGAATTTGGTAACACTATTGCAAATTCATTATGAACAGTCAAGCCATTCATTTGGGCAAACGTTTGTTATTTGGATGCTGGTTTCAGAATCATTATCTATTTCTCACTTTGACAACTAAAGTCAAATTAACCATTATAACGCTGTTTAAAGGCAAACAAAAAGAAGTAAAGGACTGGCTGACATACTTTTGTGTCTATATACCATAGTTACTCTTTTGGTTCAACTAAACTTTCAGTGTAATAACATGAGAAACTGCAGAACAAAGGAAGAATGGGGAAATCCTTCAAAAAGCGGTCAAAGTGACCTTTTATCCTCAGTACTACTTTTGAAATTTGGATTGACTTCATAGCGCGCCATGACACTAGAGTAACCTGAGTCATGACCTTGAAAATGGACATGTATTTTAAATCTTCAACATGCACAAGTTGAACATCACCCTCAAAGCAATCATTGTGCTGCACCTGCAAGAAGAGGAGTTTTGATTCTGTCCCCTGGCTTACAGAAGAATGTGGAAGGTAAACTGCACTGCTGTGGAAACTGTCTCTGCTCAAAGGGGCATTTCACATTCTCCATCTTGTGAATCCTTTTGCATCTCATCACTACAGAGAAAGAAGACGATTGGTAGTATTTTTTTTTACCTCTGAATTTGGATTTACATGCACATTACATTGGACAGATACATTTTTATGTGGCATTAGCTTTGCCTGGCTAAAGTTCTATCAGCATGCTTTGTAGTTGATTTGTTGGCAAAGACTCTTTGCTGTTGCTCTTCACCACACTACTTGGATTTTTTTTCCTCAGATCTGGCTTTGAGTGGTTGTTGGTGACACAACCAAAAACAACTGCCCTTTTTCCAGGAAAGAAACCTTGCCTTGACTCATATCCATGATCAACTTTCTGCTTTTCAGAAGAAAACTAACTGTGAAATTACAATGGCCCATAATTGGAACCAAAACATTAATGTGCACAGTTCATTATAGGGCTGTGAGAAACAATTGATACAGCAGATTATTGTGTTAACTCTTTTCTCAATGCTCAGTGATACTCCATTTGTAATGGTATTATATTGTAGTTTTAGATTCTGGCATTGAGAAAACCTTATGGATTTAAATAAATTGGAACAGAAAGTCTATTAAATAGTTTTCAGAACCCCAAGTGTAGACGTTTTATCGTCTTTTTTGGAAGTCTGGTTAGAAGACCATTATAATAGTCAATCGTAATCAAAATAAAAGCATGGACGAGCCTCTCTTGGTCCCTTTGCGACACAAACCCCATAATTCTGGCCATATGGTTCCATAAGGCCTGACCAATATTAGATTGTTGGGGCCGATACAGATATCAATATTGGGGAGTAAATCCAATTCCGATATATCAGATATCTTTCTTTAAAACTATGAAATCTTTAGAGCTAGATAGCTATAGACATTTATTGCTTAGATCCCTCAAATGCAGTTATCACATCCTTGTGGGGAAAGATTTATAATGAATCACTCAACTGGAAAGTAACTGCATGTACGTGCAGCATCGCTTGTCATTCTGGAGAGTGATAATGCTTGTTGTAATCCGTATAGCGCTGTCTGCTGGTGAAAGAGAACTGCTAGTGAAGTACAACGAAACTCAAATTAAATGCTATTGTGAACTGGTGAATAAATTTAGTAATATTGGCACGTATCTGCGATTAAAATTAGCTGATATCGATAGTCACTTGATAAGCTAATATTGGCCGATTAATTGGTCAAGCTCTATAAATGAGAGAAAATGTTTTGGAGATTTCTCTGATATGGCTAACCAAAGGTAAGATCCGAGTCTATCAGTATACCAAGATTACGTACTTGGTCTTGTTTCTCTATAAGCTAACAAAAAAATCTCTATTTTACCTTTAACTCTGGAAGACGATTTTCTTAATGCCTTGTTAATACAGTTAACGTTGAAATCCCTGATGGCATTGTCTTTATTTACATTTAAATCCCTGATTGCAACCATAAAATGATTCCTGCTATGGGAACATTTTATTGATTATCATGTAAATGTTAAAGATCAAGAGGGATTCCTTTATATTTACCCCTCTGTTGCTACTATGGCTTTTTCCAATGGATCAAGTCGTAACCCTTGGGAGGTATTTTGAATTCACTTGGATGCCATACAAACACTTGCCAAGTGCTTCTTTAGAAATGTGTGGTAGGAGAAGTTAGGTGGTAAAATTGAGTGTAAGTATTCATAATATATTTCTGAGATTAATTTAAACTATTTTAAAGCTTGACAAGTATAACTGCTGCAATGCCTCTGATAAAGCAGAGCGCTGTTTGTTGGCACTAGTTTCACTCCGATACTTAAATATTTGTACAGTGCCTGACATGGAGCATAGTTTGGACCAAAACTGCATCCTATTTTATCTGTCCTTCCATTGTTATATAGCTAACAATGACAAAAGAATGGGAATAGTATGAAATTAAAAAACTGTAAAGATAACCATATTCTTAGTAAAGTCTTATATCTCCCTCTGCACAACAGGTCTACTTGTGATTTGGCTCCTAAACGGAGACAAAATATTAAGAGATTATTCATCTGAAATATTACATGTGTTTGTATTGTGTACATGTTTCCTTTTAACAGGTTTGACCAGCTGTAAAGATTTTGGACTGTCTGGGAATTTGTTGCCTGTATGGCTGGACATAGAAGTCCTTTTATTAAAGAAATCTAAACCCTGGACATGAGAAGTGGCCTTAGTTTTAACAGGATACCATATAGAGGACTGGAATAGAACATCTGCATTTAAGATGAAAACAAAGATATTGAAATGTTTTCCCCTTTTGTAAGCCAAGTATAGATAATAATAGAGCCATGACTCTAACAAGCTCTGCAGTGTAACTTCACAGGTAAACCTAATGGATTTATTTATGAAGACAACAGGAAAACTCAACTTGGAGTAGACCAACTTATTGTAACAATCAAGACTGTAGATCTGTAAATCTCATCTGAATGGAAGAAGTTTGGATGTCACCTGTGAGTATTAAGCTCTTTAAAAATGGGGATATCCATGAGTGAACTGCAACATTTTTATGATGTTCATTAGGCATTGACTTGTTCTGAATCCTGTTGCAGTTGAATAACTCTGTGATCTTCTGTTTTGAGAAGTCAAGAATATTCTAGTTGTGATTCTTCTACACAGCAGAGTACTGGCTCTGTGAACCTCGACTCACCTAGAACTGGTGCAGCTTTTTGCTTGACTTAATTTTTATTTGATATCTCCTGCTCCGTGTAGGAAGAGTTCTTAGCTGGGCATCATAACCATGTGGCACGAGACAAATGTTAGTGTTTTCACTGCAACACAAAACGCAGTAATTAATTGAAGTGGTCAATTAACTTCAGTAATTCTAGTTATGTATAAAAAAAATTGTTGGAAATATACACTTCAAATCTTGTGCCTCTCCACCATAGTGGTTAGATGGTCTGTGCTAACACAGACATTACAAATCGTTTATCCAAATGGTGTCAATTGTCTGGTGATAAAGGTGAACTTTCTGTCATTCAGTTTTCACTAGAGGTGCACCGATTGACCTTACTGATTGATCTCTGTTAAAGGCAAAGTACACCCTGATTGATGTCAGTGACATAGCGCTTCATTCCACTGTGGACTTTATTAAAGGAAAGCTATGTCCGGTAGCCTGGTGCACTTCAACTTGATTTGTTTTATCATGACATATCAGAACATAAAATCAATGTGCATGGTTAGGAGCAAAGACATTCTTTGCAACCTTAATACCTTTCTATTCAGAAGGATTATTGGAATAAGTAAAACTCTGGATCAACAGGTCAGACCTTGGAAAAAAAACTGGAAATTGGAATCGGCCAAAGAAATGGCAATTGATGCATCTTTTCCCATCACCTTTATAGTATCCATTGGCAATGCTTGGAACTGCATCTTATCTGACACAACTAAGTTCTTGGTACCATCAACTCTTTCCAATGGAAAACCACAGAGGAATGGTTTCAAGCCAATGAGCTTTACCATGCAATGGAAACGATGTTTTCACTTCACTACACGTGGTGGAGTTTCTGAAGAGAATTCCAAAGAACTACGTTCATTCTGGAGCTGTTTTAAAACCATTTAGAGTTTATCTTTTGCTCATTTCAGACTTCATCTCGTCTTTCTTGATTTTTCTTCAATCCATCTTTAATCCAAGTTTTGATAATAGTAAAAAATATTTTCACCTTATTTCAGATGTCTCACAATCCCATGTATCTTTAAGTCTTCCTTGATGATTCTCTTCAATCCATCATTAATCAAAGTTATGAATCAGACAAATATTTGGTTAGTTTTTTGAGTATACCAAGATTGTTAAGGTGAACTTTGTTATATTGACGCAGGGCTCTTCTGATTTAGAAACGGCTCTTTCTTTGATAGATTATTATTAACTGGATAACCTGATGAAGAAAGTTAAACATCTGCAAGAGAAAAGGTTACATCATAGACAAAAACTAGAGAAGGAAATGTCAACAAAGAGGACAATTGAATGTCTGATTTGCTTGTGAGTATAACAGTCAGTCATAGTTAAGTCAAATAGAGCCTTATAGTATTTATTTAGAAATTACTAATATTGTCCTGGCTATCAGAAGCTTTTCTACTTAAAAGAATAGTACAGACTTTCTTCTTACCTTGTCTCTGAACATCCTCCAGAAAGTTCAGCAACTTCTCATGGACGTATTGTGAATTTGAAACCTTGTAATGTTATGTCTGTGTGTTGGTGTTGTGTACAATTTGTTTTTCTTTAACAGGTATGACCATCTTTAAAGGTGTTGGACAATGGAAAGGAAGTTTCCAAATCAAGTAATTCAAAGTCTGAAGCTTCTGTTGGAGTTGTTTAGTCATTGATAAGATATGGATCTCAATGAATGGCTACGTGTTTATTATCTTCTTCTTTTGGCTCTATACCTTGGACTTCAGTTTGAAACGGGTTAAAACATTTGACTAATCTTCCTCAACTTGACAAAGTACGTACGATTGGATTGACCATGTCAAGAACACTCAGCTGATCGTGTGGAGTAAAGAAGGAATTCAAAGCTTTAGCACTTAAATTTAAGATACAGTTACGATTTGGTTCCATTGCGTGGTCCGGTTTGGTTCAGTACAGTTGGTATGGTCTGGTACCGTAAATCCTGACCTCCCTTGCTTTTCCACAGCCATCCCTTACATTATAAGTTACTTGTTCCACAAATATTTCAGTCACTAATGAGACAGTAACAATACAAGCAGAGCACAAAGCTAACACTTAAGTGACAACCATAAACGTACAGACAGACTGGAACACTTCCTCATTGCCAACAGCGCCATCCAGTTCCCTGTAACCCTAAACCGCCAACTCCCCAATCCAAATTTTGGCATTGTTTAAAACAGCTGTTATAAAAGACTTGTGTATATTTTTAAGGAGGTTAGGGTTAAGGTTTTTTTTTTTTATACCCATTGTCTCCTGATTGCCCGTGCCCCTCGCCTGTACCCAACTTAACCGCACTCTACGGCAATGATCCCTAGGAAGGTCTGCACCTCCAAAGTCGTGCATCAGGCAATGATACACGCTCGCATATTAATCGCTAAAAATGCCTTGAAATTACACTCTCACAGACACGATATGTTTTGTTTTCCTTGTATGGAAGTGATGATTCTTTCGACCAATCAACAGACTGCAGTTCGTCTAGTTCCCCCATTTAGGATCGGATCGGTACGAAGAAAAAAAACGAACAGGCAGTTAAGATTGTTTATTTTGGTAGTATTCCAAACTATTTGTGTATCGTACTGAGCCAAACTGAACCGCGTGGTGGCAATGGACCCTACGGTTAACCCTAATTCTTCTACATGTATACGTTTCCTTAAAACCTTTGATCAACATTCTCTCCAAATTGTTAACCATTTGGTTTAGAAAGACTCCTAACTGTGATGTTCCACATTAAAGTATGTCTGACTTTACAAGTCTACAGATAGAAATGAAAGGTGAAACTTACATCAGTCTATATTTGTTGTGCCAATCACATTCACCGAACTACGCAGGAACTACTTTTTAGCTTCAGCTCAGGTGCAGGTCTACAGGAACCAGAACTCACCTGTGACCCCCAATTCCCTCTAGTCAAATCTGGACCTGCCTTGCCAGCAGCTAGTTTATGTCACTGTTCTCGAAGTTGAGAACTTGTGAATTTGACATTCAAAGACAATTTTGAGAAAAAAATAAACGGAATGTGTAGAAACTTAGAAAATATAATGCACCTGGAAGTGACCCCTTTTTTTTAATTTTAAAAGGTGATTTAAGCTTCATGTGAGCAGATTAAGAACAATAAAATGAATGTAGAAATATTGTTGTACTAACTAAAGTCTGGCAACCTGATTTGGTTACATTTTGGTAACATAAACTAATGCTTTCAGGTAATGAACCATGAACTTTCATTCCTGCAGGTTACCCTGTACCTATGGGTGCCTGACCCTGAGCAGGATGTTTAACAGTATTACAGATGTTTGTCCTTCCTAGAGATTATTTCAGGCAAAATTAAAACAAAGACTAGATCATGAAATTTCCTTAGTGTTTTGGAAAAGGGATTTTCCCTATTTGTTGCTCATTATTTACATTATTGTTGTGAGATTTGGAATCACAATTTTGACACTTAAATTCCTCAGAAGTTATCCTGTCCAAATTTGTTATAAAAGTCTCTTGGCTTTTAACCCCTACAATCCTCCTCTAATAGTTCCTTTAAAAAAAAAAATAAAAAAAACCCTAAAAAGACTGATGGCCAAAACTGCCATTGTATACTTGAAGAACCTCATGTTCACCAACCTGCCTGAGGCAGGAAGTCCTGTCCACCTTATGGTTGAAGTCAAGATGAGTGTTGTGCTGGTGTGGATGTGTGACTGTTTCATGTGTTTGGATAAATGAGGTGTGATAGCTGCTGTCAGCCAGCTTGTCAGACGGGCTGCCCCAGGCCACAGTAGAGGCTCTTCTCTGCAGTTGGGTTACATTGACGATGAGTAGAAGTCAGTGGACAGTAAAGCCTGGACATGTTTGCACTGCAGCCAGAAGTAAGCTTACACAGATCAGCTGAACAAGTAAGGTAAGTGTCCCATCCATGTTTATAATACAAGATGCTCAGTTTTCTCTTCTCTCTGTCCTCTCTTCCCGTCATTCCTCACAGTGACATTTACAGGGCTTCTGGCATCACACTTACAAAGAATGGCATCACAGTGCAGATCTCTTTCCTTCAATCTTTTGTGTGTGTGTATGTGATTTCAAGCATTATAGCCCGTGCAGTGTGTGTGGTTGTAGTACTTTTGCTTCTCTGTATGTATGCATGAGAGAAATAATGACGTTTGTAACATGTGAAACAGAGCTGATATTTGAGAGTTGCTGGTTTTATATCCATCATTATGAAAGCAGATCAACACAAAGATTCAAAACCTTCAATCTTATACAAGGTATTCAGGTTGTCTTCTTCCAGCCTGTTCTGGTCTTTTTACCTGATTTAAAAGGTCTTTGGCAATGGAAATAGGCAGGTTGCGTTCAACAATGTGAAGAACAATATAGTCCGAGGCAACAACTCATGGGGTGATTTTCCACTGACATTCTGTTAAAAACTTTTGGAAGTCTTAGTAATATAATACTTCATCTCTTCTTCACCTGCCAAACAGGAAATAATGTTCTGTCCAATCTAAAACACACAGATGTGGTTTCTGTTTGGGTTCTCTTGAAGAGAATTTGACAACATTCAGACCACATTGAGCAGCTTTGGCCCAGAATACATGCACAAGCATGTAAGCCAGTCTGTTTCACCTTTCTAAACAAAACAATAGTCCATGTTAGTATCACTAAACCAATTACTTTATTCAAACTATTAATATACTATGTTTATGCTCACATTTTAGCTGAGCTGTTTGAAAACTCAGTTTGATATTCATCCAAACGCTGTACCAGATAGGTGTAGCTTATTTCTCACGTGTACTTACATGTGACTCAGTTGCTCCCGAGTGTAACATGAGACTGAAGTCTTAAGTGCAGACCTCACACTGTGCATTTACCTTGGAAACTGACAGGATTGCTCCGTCCGTCATTGCTGTGAAATGTCTCTAAAACTCTAAAAGTAGTTTGTGGCACTGGGTTGGGATGTGTTTGCAGTTTAGAAGTAAAACCTGTTGATACTGCTGTGGTTGAACTGGGTGGGTTTTTTAGAAAAAGAAAATCTTCTTTTGTACCCCGGGCTGTTGGTCTGGACTTGGACTGTCTCTTTCTGTACATGGAGTTTGGGGCGACTGCTTCGCCTTAATAATCAAATACATTTTAAAAAAAATTCATTTTCGACTTGACACAAAAAAACTTCCCAAGAAATCCCATCTTGAAAGTCCACTGTGCTTAAACGCTGCAGAAATATCAGAGGATAAAGACACTCAGAGGCTATCAAGACATGAGAATTTTCTAATTGTTGTTTATTTCCGTATCAGAGAAGCCAGTGACGGTTGTCTGCAGATATATAGACATATTAAAAACATGCTAATTTTAATGGAGCAAATTTGCCCAAGATGTTGAAGAGCTAAATTATTATTATCACAGTTAAACTGACAGTGAGTCTGTGGTGAACCCATGCTTCCCTATGACATGCTTAGACTTAGTTCCAGAACCTAGATGATTAAATGATGTGAGCAATAAATTGACTGACTGATTAAATCCCATCACCAGAATCCTGAGTCAGTTAAACAGATTATTTATATTAAAATGTCTGTTAAAGGTTATGTCTCAGATGTAAAGTTGCCAACAGTCACAAGCGGAACTGTAGCTCCATTAAACGGGCCTCATCTTAATGCACTACTGCCGTGATGTAAACCTGCACAGAAGACAGATGGCATCACGTAGGAGCTAGCTCATAATAAAGTAACGCATGGCCGCATTCAGCAGGAGGACGTTAACCTGCAAGAAGGGCCAAAGTGCTACCACTGCACAACTCCAACAGTAGTGTTCACATCCCAAGGTAGCATCATTTTAAAACTGCAGCAGGAATATCAAGTCATCGTTTGAGAGTAGCCAGTTCCAAACCTCAATAATCCATCGCCCAACTCAAAAATCAAAACAAATATTTAGTGGCCGTACTGATGAACACAAAATACAAGTACTTTATTGCATAAACAAGAAACAAATGTAGGAAAGGCTTTCCTACAGCATCAGTACAGAAACATAAATCCATCCACATACAGGTGACTGCTGAGAAACAAGAACTTCAAGTAGTTGTGAATATTTTAAATGACCTGCAGTGCTTTAAAGGCCCACCAGGGGAGCTGCTGCCCAAGCTTAAGGAGTCACTGCCTTAGTATCATGTTACTCTGAAAACATACAACCGTTTTAAAACCTGATCAAACGTATGAATTTGTATCAGCTGAGGTGTTTTGTGGTTGCTACATGTTAGCTCTGGTTCTTTCACATCTCGTTCAGTCTGTACAAAAACAGAAACATGTTGTAGTTCTTCTGAGAAACGCCTCCTGCAGTAGTGGTGGACATTACTGCTTCTCTTTTCTCTCCTCTTGGTGCCTCTTATTGCTCATGACTGTCCTGCCATTCCAGTGACCAGCCAGTAACTATACAGCATCCTGAATGTGACTCTTTTCTGTTGTTGCGCTTATATGTAGACGTGGTCTTGTAGCTGTTAAAGGACCCTGGTGCTACATGGAGTTTATGGTCCTCGCAAGCTCTGATCTAAAGGGGGACTACACTATGTTCAGCCAATGCCATGAGTCAAGCCCCCTGAAGGCTGTCGAGATGAATCTTATCTGCACTGTGATCCATGCTCTAACCAAACTCAAGTCCTCATTGTCTAAAATCTGTTCTATGTTCGTGAATCTCTTGAGTGTGATGCCAGAACAACCCTTTATGCCTACAGTAGTTTTGTCTTAAAAGGGCACCGCCCAAAGGCTTAAAGACCGATACGGAATAGACGAGGTCTTCTCCTGTAGAAGGTGACGGTGCAGCTCCCAGCTCTGTTTGGGCTCATCATGCATCGACGCCCCCTGATGTGCAGTCCAGCTTCATGTGGCTTTGTAACAGAATGCTGTTGTCATGGACCTTTCTGGACCCCTCTGCAGTTTGTAAACAAATGAATGGACTTTAAAGTACTCAGATGCCTTTCATAAAACCGACCTGCATTTAGACTTTGTCACACAATGTGTACATGTCTCCAGTCACTGACTCACACATTCTTCACACATAACAACCTGTTTGTTTGTTTTTTTTACATCTCCACAAACACATGCACAAATAACGCACACTCGGCACAGGTTGTCACTGACTTTATTAGTGGCAACCTCAGAGCAGTACAGGTAGATAAAAAAGGAAGTGTTTAAATGGAACAAAAAGAAAGTAGAAGTAGAGACCTGTTTCAGATCACTGCCAGGTTCTTATCGTTTTGTCTCTCGCCACAGGAGCCTGGAGCAGTGGACGGAGGCTGAGAGTCCACACCCGTAAACATGGTAAGTTCCATATCAGTCTGAAATTAATCATGTGGGCTTGGTTCACACATGCATATTTCTTCCACTCGTTTGAATGTTGCAACTTTAACATTTCCGTTATTGCAAAATATCTAGTGAACTGAAGTTTATTTGCTCTGCTCTTTGAATGTTTGAAGTGTGGTGGTATGAGGAACTTGTCAGTAGCAAGTGTTTTATCCACTGAGATGAAGGTCTGCTCCAGTACCAACACAGATGCTAGTCTATTGATCGTTGCTCCTCCGCCTGCAGCGCACTGATCAGCTCCTCAGGTCTCTAGTGTTCGAGCCAGCTTATCTTTTTATACTACTGCATCTCAGTTTTAAGACTAAAGCAGGAGAGTGTTTTAAAGATTATCCAGCTGACAGAGTAAAGGAAAGGCTATAAAGTTAGATACCGCTTATTTGATAGAAGGGAGCATGTCATGGGGAACAGGGTTTGCGTCATCTCTGCAACCAGAGAACTTACTCTGAAGACAAATTTCCTTCGACTTCTCTGTTTTTTGCAAAACATTAGTGTTCACCACGTCAGGGAACTCTGCAGACTGTGGGCATGTGTGAGCCGCTGCTGTCCTCTACCTAAAAAGGTTCTGAAGTACTGATACAACACAGACTTGCTGACTGCAGAGTAAAACACTGACAAGTTAGTGTTTTCTAAAAATTAGCTCAGTTTTGTCGTATTAACGTTCTTGTCTGCAGCGATGTATAGCCGAGCTTCGATGCTGATTCTCCGGCTAGTTCCTCAGTAAGGGGCTGAGCTGCCTGCCATCTCCTGTGGCTAATACACTTAATATTGACATGTGCCTCACTTCAAAGAATCCAAACTATCCCTTTAACCATATGTAGGTTCATTGTAGATATTGAGTAACAGTTGGTCTGCTCTTGTTTTATAGGTCAAATGAAGAATGATGTCTGATTAAAAAGCCAGAGCTGCAGAAGACCAAGAAACGGCACTGTGGTCACACCAGGATGAGCTCCATGTAAGACCTCCTCCTGCATTCATGAATGTGAATGGACCTAATATATATCAGTGTGTAGCCAGCTTTAAACAACATCTCAGGCATCTCCATTAAAACCAGTTTTTGTTTCCCTCTTCCTTTGATGCAGAGCTGCAGGTGTCGAAGCAGCTGCAGTACCAGGAAACATCCAGCAGAGGAGCAAACAGGCCGCAGTCCAGAGGAGAGATGCACTGTTTGTTTTTTTTAGATCTTCAGTATAATAAATAATACAAACTCAATTTATATGTTGTTTGTTTTTCTTACTTAGCAGCCATTGGTTTGTTTGAGTCTCTTTAAACCTTTTTATTAGATTCTGTAAACAATCTGCAGTCGAGTCAGCCGGAGGAACGAGGCTGTTCAAATCCTCCCGCTGTGCACTGAGCTTCTCCCTCTGCCCGCTTGCTGTTTTGCCTCAGTGACCTTGCTCTTCCAGCTACAATTAAGGGTAAAGGTGCAATGTTTCCGCCGCTTCATCACACCTGTATGCTGAGACTTGGCTGTCAACGCTGGACGAGGTCCAGCCTGGAGGAGGGCAAGGCGATACCAAGGAGCCTAAAGGCAGGACAGGAAGTCTAAAGTGGGTCAGTTTGGTTTGTTTGACCTGAGCTGCACCCTAAGTACACTGAACCTGCAGACAGGCGGTCACCTGCCAAACACTGCAAGAGAGGTGACTCATTAAAGGAAAACCACAACCGGATGATTCCATGTAGGTCACGGGGGGGGGGGGTCGTTTCATCTACTCCTTAAGTTGCTTTCAAAGTATAACCTAAAAACAAGCAATTATTTTTTCCCTTCTTTGATAACTTCTTGTCATTCTGACAAATTAGCTAAATATATGAAAAGCCTCGGTTGGAAACATGATAATACTGCGTGCACATGATTTGTACCGTGAGCTGCTAATGAGGTCACAGCGATGGGGCAGCCTTCTTGCACAATCTTTTCAGAGTCCTGATACTTAAGACAGTGTGTTGATGTGCTGAAAGATCAAGTACCTCTTATTTGTGAAACCTATAACTTCACTGGATGCTCCATGTTCCTCATTTTAGTGCAGACAACTGGCTGCTCTGTGTTTTATTATTTGGGCTTTTTTTTGGATAGGACAGCTGGAGAGAGAGGAAATGTTGGGAGGAGAGAGCCTAGGTTGGATTTGAACCCCATGGCCACTGCGATGAGGACTTTAGCCTCTACATGGAGCTTTGACACAACCACTAGACTACGGGCGTTCCCAGATGGCTGCTCTTCTGATAGTAGCAGTCATTAGTTAACACATCAGACTAAAATGATGACACAAATCTCATTAATTCACGACTTTATCCTCTAAAATTTGCAACCATAATCTCATAAAATCATCACTTGAATTTGAAATATTCTATTTATTTTCTTCAATATTGCCCTCTTCCTCCGTTATACTATTTCTAAATGCATACAAAATAAATATGACCAGAACTTTGTCAAGTTTCCCCTCTGAGTACAAAACTAGCTCTTTACAGGAAATGTGTAATTTGATGTTTTACCTTAAAATGGTCTTAAAAAAACAAGTTCAATGAAAACAGTTTTTCAAACAAAGGGGAGAGAGAAACGCCTACACTGTTTGGTTTTCGGACGTCTTTTCTGAAAATAAGAGAAAAACATTGGACAACTTGATCCCAGGGACAGTGACCCACAATCAACACTGACGTTTTGAGTGAGGTTTACTTTGCGCTTTGTTTACCAGCTGCTCCCTCTGTCTGTAAGTTGACCTGGGGACGAGGGAAAGGGGGAGAGAGAGAGGAGGTAAAGTAGGTGGTGTCCACCTGACCAGCTCCATCCATGCATCATTAATGTTCATGCATCATTGATGGCGTCCACTGGTAACAGGTGGAGCGGTACAATCCCCTCTCCAGTCATCCCCCAGAGCCTGCACCTGAAGACGCACAGAACCAGGTCTTAGTCCATCTCACCCAAACAGGAAACAACAACAACTGCCAATTGAGTCTTGAAATAGGACCATACATGTACCTGTGGTTCCCCTGTCCGAGGGTCTTTTCAGGTAAACTCTCCTCCAGCTGTGACACAAACTCTGTCACAGATGAGTGGCACTGCTGGAGCTGCTCCCCCGACCGTCATGCTGGGTTTGGACCTCAGCGGACCGTGGCACCAGAGATCCACTGAGGCGTACCTGCTCACCGGCTCTGTGAATCCTCCGCCCGCAGCAGCAGCAGGAAGAGGAGGAGGAGGAGGAGGCTGGGGGAGCAGGACCCCTCTGAGGCTGCCCGCACTCGTCGCTACAACCAAACGACCTCACAGGAGAAGCAGCATGGCTCGTCTCAGGTGAGCTGAAGAGGTGTCAGACTTAAAGTTCAAAGGATCTCACTGGTTTGTCCTTTACCTTACAGCTGAACAAGTCGGGTTCTGTTTGCCGCAGAGAATCATGTGTATGTAACCCAAATTTGTGACCTGCAGAAAAGCGGAACTCAAAATTAATTAGACTTTTATTTTTTTTAATTAAGAAAACAAACATGTTTCCAATCACCTCATGTTCTCGTTTTAACGCTAAAACATCTCTCTGACAAATTAACACAGCTCCATAGGCCAGCACAACACTCTTTAATGGTTATATTAACAGGAGGTGTCTAAGGACCTGAAAGTTCTGGGGGCTTAAAATGAAAAAGTTCCTCCCTTAAAATCTTAATATCATCTGACATCATATAAAACCTGTTACAGAACGTTTTTCTTCAATTGTTAATCAGTAGTTGTCTGTTAGTTGTGCTGAGTAAGACCCCCGTGCTCCTGTATCATTCATTCAATTCTGGCCAATTTAATAACCATCAGGGCATAATTGCATACTTGTAAATGGATTTGAGCTTGTATTTTTATTTTTTAGTCTTCTGTCTACTCAAAGTGCTTTTTACACCGCAGGTCACACCTACACATTCACACACTGATGTTAGAGGCTGCTGTGTAGAGAGACCATCAGAAGTAACTAATCCCATTTATACACGTTCACAAGTCACAGATGAAGCATCTTGGGGTTAAGTGTGTTACCCAGGGACATACAGTATCTGACATGTTGCTGCAGGAGCTGGGGATCAAACCCCCGACCTGCCAGTTGAGAGGCTACCGACTCTAACAACTGAGCCACAGCCGCTAAAAATTGCGTTTTAGATCGTGTTACATACGCATTTTTTACTTCAGTTCAGACACTTTAGACCTTTATTGTCCCTGAAAGGCAAACTTGATTTACAGCAGTGGACAAAAACACAACAAATAAAAAGACTCAGAACGCTGCAACACAACCTGCTGAAATACAACTAAGAAAAAACAATTACACTGGAATGACAGCAGTATTAATAAAGTCTTATCGTGCTGCTGGAAAGCGCAGTCATGGTGTAAACCGCACTAGGAACATACGATTATTGATACCTGTTGCTCTTAGTCCTGGGCCGCCTGCACCTCCGACCAGAGGGGAGAAAAACATATTCCTCCAAGAGAGGAAGGTCAGAGCTGAACAAGATCCACTTTGCTTTCCTCACAAAGCGTCTGTTTCAGATATGTGACAAGGCAAGCTGCTATGTGCAGATTATCTTACTGGCTGTGACGTCATGTTTAGTATGAATAGTTTGGAAACTGCCACTTTTAATGCAATATTGCTCAGGTGAACTTCATTTAAGACTGTAAGAAGTTCAGTCTCAGAACTGTGGTGTGGTCAAAATCCAGACTGAAACATGTTAGACCGTTTGGGCCCCAAAAGGGTGAAAAGTTGCCGATAATAAGCGACCTTTTTAAATATCATTCCTCTGTGGTAAGGTTTATGTCGGCACAGGCATCACAGACATCATCACCATTTTTCCTGAAATGGAACTTGAAACTGATTGTGTAATTGTCAGAATTTGTCTCAGGCCACTGGATCCTCGGGATGTCCTGTGGTCTGCTGCACATATCCTGTAATCCAGATCCTGCTGCATCATCACGGTGTATTTGAATGTGATTAATCGCCTGTATGTCATCTCCCATCTCCACTGTCTCCACTATTCTTTTCAGCAAAAGTGCCTGTCAAAGTGCAGCTTCAACGCATGACTGGAATTACAGTTTAATTGTTTCCTCTCTCTTGATAGCATAATGTAGTCCACTTCTCCGCTCACCCCGTACCCCCCCCATGTTTGCTTTGAGTACAGAAGGCCAGAGAACAGTGTCATAAATCTCAGGTGTGGAAGTCGATCCTTCGCCTGATGCTGCACCCACAGCGGCTTAACTCTGAGGGGGCAGAAACCTGAGTGAGCACACACATTCACACGCTTTAAGCTCACAGTCAAACAAACGTCCGTCACTGTCACACGGGGGTTTGATGGCCTCCGCTCACCCAGGCAGAGCAGGTTTTGAATGACCATCTAATAAATGAGAAGGATTAGTGAGTTCCAGTCAGTCTGTGAGACAATGAGTCCACCACTTTTGTCCAGGTCGGAGATGATCTCTTCTTAACTCACTGCAGCCGTTTGCACATCTGAACTCCATTCAGATGTGCAACCCAAAGTATTTTAGCCCAAATTAAGTATTTTTTTCAGTTTGGAAAGTCAGATGTAATCTTGTGATGAAACTCTGCCATTATGCATCTACAAACAGCTTCCCTGAGTGGACGGGGCTGTCTCTCCTCCCCAAAGTGGTCACAGGGCTGACGGTTGGAGAGGGACATGTTTGAGCCTCTCAGTGACATATAAACAAGGAGAAGGAAGCAGTGTGAACACAGAGCTGGGAACAACAAAGCCATTATCCATATATATTAAAGGGAAACTATTATGAAAAATCCACTTCTTCAGTGTTTCTGACCATATATTTGTGTAACCTGAGTGTCTACCGACCCACAAAATGTGAAATAAACCCATCCAGTCCTTTTTTTGTGGTCTGCATAAGTCTTACAACACAGAGAAAAATGCTCTGTTTCAAATGTGCTCTCCTTGTGATGTCACAGTGGGATTCTGGTAAAAAAAAAAAAAAAAAAATCCTCTCCCCTGGTATCTCCACCCATGGACTCCACCCCCCGACATTTTTATTCTCGCTACAGAGGAGTGATGTCTACGGGGGGAAACTCAGAGGGGGGCTCATTGCATTTAAAGAGACACACACACCAAAACGGAGCGTTCTGAGAGAGCTGGTTTATACAGGGTCACAAACCTGCTCTGCTGCTTGATTCATGTTATATTTTGACCAAAGCACAGCACAGATGTTTCATTTAGACCACAGGGGGACTGTTTGAAAAGATGGA